CCAAAACTTCAGATGCCACACAATACACATGATATAGATAGCAAATTTGTACTTTCATGTATCAACTGATTTAAAATTGTCTTGTTTTTGTGACTGATTTAGTGCCTTAAAACAAAAATCTATTTTTTTGAAACAAAATAATGATGCAATAATTAAAACTAGCAAGAATATTCAGTTATACATGTATGTTCAAAGAAATATGTGTAAATCTTTTAAAGATGTGAAATTTTCTAGCACATTATTAGCAGACAATGTCATTATACAACTAAAACTGTATAAGCCGGATTCTATTATGTCCTTGTACATTATCCAAATTGCACCTACCGTAATATCAACTAAATAGATGTTATCCGGAACTCAGCAAATGTTGTTTTTTTTAAGCTAATCTCCCAATACAAACAAACTTTTAGCGTTATAGCTTCAAGATGCACTACTGGTCACAATAGAAAAGCCAACCTGTTTTGCTTATTTTTGAAGCTGTAACAGTAAAAGTTTGTTTGCACCTACTGGTTAGTTGGGAAAATCCCAAATATTCATAATTCCAGAGTTAGTCTGTTAAAGTTGTTTTTTCTCAAAGTTCACTGTCTCACAGTGTAATCAATCTTCGGCACAAACTTGTATGTTAATATCACCACTCTGTCTCAGATCCATGGCAAAAAATCCTCAAATATTGTACTGTGCTTGAGGTTTTAGAATGTTAAAAGTTCAAATTTACTAATAAATTGGTGTTTACTGGGGTAATTATCCTGTATTGTATGTAGAACATGGCAACAAAATTATTATCATTATATTAACTTTAAAAAAAATAAATAAAAAAAATAACAGATTTTATTCAGTTATGCTTGGTAATGTTATGTAACCTGGTATCTCCATCTTAAAGAATCAGTATTTTACCTTTTGTTTCACCTAGCAGTGCTAGGTCTATGCAATGGTTTTGTTTTAGCACCAAAATAGTGAGGGGATATGTCGCAACATCTAATTCAAGGATTGATATTCTAGAAGTCAGGTCCCCGGCATTCCCCAGTATTGGGGGAGGCAGGGGTTACATTTACCTATACGAAGTTTATTACTGGAAAAAAAAAAGAAAAACTAATAAATTTCATATTACTACAGCTTTGATATTTTCTGCTAATTCTTACAATACATCAATCACGTTCTTCAACAAAACAAACTATAATAGTGCACTTCACTTCAATGCACGACAGTTCATGTAAATGTCAACAAAATACATGATAATATATTAAACTTTACTTGATGATTTTTGTAGGATATTACTAGCACTTAAGGATGGAAATATTAATTCAAAGATCTAGAATTTTTATATTGAGCAAACAATGAAAGATCTGCACATCAGCATGGACATACAAGCTGTCCCCACTCTATTCTAGTAGCACAGACATGATTGTAATCATTGCAGCTAGCATTGAGAGAGAACATTTACTACCCAGTAAATCAGTTAATGACAAAAAACTTCAGTATTCAATAAACACAAGTTCATCAAGGTATATCTAACATTGTAATCAAGTTTTGGTTTCCATAATATACAATATGTGAGCTAATGGAAGATCAGTGTTTGTATTTAAGTGCCAAAATTCATTAAAAGGACTCCACTGTTTTTTTTTTACATGAAATAAAAATTTTCGGGATGTTACATTTGATGTAAATCTAGACAAATAACCTACAAACATAATTTTTCATCATTTGCTCACTCCATTTGCAAGAAAAATATTCTACTTGTGAAAAATGACCCAAAATTGAAATGCGACCTCAGTGGAATTCTTTTAAATATTCATAAGCAATTTGTCTTCCTCCATCAGTTATAGCAGTTGAAACACCATCATTACAACCCTTACACTGTTAGTGCAAGTCCCATCACTTCTTAAAGGAAATATGGAAATAAATAATAACACATTAGTAGATATTCATTATAAAACATTTTAATATAATTTTCTTGTCAAAAACATTGAGAAGAACTAATATTTTTTTTATTTTCTTCAAAATCATAGACAGAATACCACATGAAAAATAACAATAAGAAAACAACATAGTTCTATTTTTGAAACTTAATATTATATAATTATTTTATGTAACATAATACTAATATTATGTAAACGAAAGAGTTACATCTGGAAGAATGTGTTTGTAGAATAACAGCGGAAACAAAATTGGAAAACAATAAGTAAGTACCAAAATGTCAAGAACAAATTTCATCAAATTGAAAATAAAGAACGAGTATTAACAAGAAATGAGATCAATGATATCAGCAAAAGCTCTCAAAAAATGGCATTTGCTTTACACATATAGAATTGTTCATCATGCAAAAACATACATGTATAACAAAATAGTTAGTAGATCTTAGAAAATGTTTTGTTTGTAAACACATCTTCACTGCTTGAACATTGTTGACACAGCCAGGAACATAGTACATTAAAATGTTAACTAACAACCAAGAATTTTTGTTTTGTATTATTTTTTTTAACAATTAAACTCTAATTAAAGTTTATATCTCAGCTGATTCATTAATGACTTGTACACTCCAATCAAATGCATTCTGGAACATTTTCATCCACGGTGATACATCAAGAGACTGTCTATGTTCTACAGGCATCCAGGGGCATTGCCAGGGCAGAAAACACCGCTCCGGGTGAGGCATAATGGCCAGGTGGCGGCCATCTTCTGAACAAAGGGCAGCAACTCCATCAGGAGAACCATTTGGGTTAAAAGGATAGTTTGTAGTAGCCTCCCCTTCATCATTTACATATCTTACTGGAATCAATTTGTTTGTCTTCAGGTTCTCATAAATTGTGTTATTTTTGAAAACCATTTTACCTGAAAATGTATGGATATCATAAATTTTCAAAAATGTAATTTCTTAAAAAAATATCTACAATAGAAAGCCTGTCACTATGACAACTTTCAATTTCTCTAATTGATCTATTCATTTTTGATATTAAGAAAACATCAAGTCCACTTTTACAGCAGCCTTCAGCTTTAATATTCTGTTGGATCAACAATTCAGTGTTGTTTCAAACTAAGTATTTTGGAAAAGTGCATCATATCATTGTTAAGCCTTCTTTAAAAACAGTGTCCTGAGAGCTATTTATAACTTGTCAGTGATGTTCGTTTTTAAAAATAGAAGATTGAGAATCGACCACTTTACTTATTTGAATATAGAGAGCGGACTGGTAGATTAGAGTTATCAAGGAGTTTCATTATTGTTTATTTATCATATTATAGGCAGATTTCATTTTTCACCTTAATTCCTGATTTGCCAATTATATGAAATGATTTATTTTTAACCTATAGAAAATCTGAAGGCCGCTTTATTAAGATTAGCATAAATCATCATTTCAAATTCATGATATTAATCTCATTTTCAATTTTATATTTTAGTTCAGCTATTGCATTCACATTTTATATACAATGTATAGCTTTTGTACAGTCCCTTTAAAAGGGACATAACTGTGTCAAAATTCATGACAAGAGTTATATACTGTCTACGATTAGAGTTGATGGTCACAAACACGTAGTTTTCTTTCCCTGAAGATTGAAGGTAATTTGTCATTGAGATGGGTGAAAAGTGGGAATGTACGAAAAATTTAGTATGGGACATGACACTAAGGCACAGGTGAAGACAATAGTTCTTAGTCTTTGAACAGTCAAGTTAACAAAATTTCTATACTTTCATCAAATGTTGTTTGATGGAGTTTTATCATAAGTGTAGAAGTTGTGAATTACCTTCTCCATGAGCACTCCACATACCAAAGACCGTCTCCTCCATTCCACGCAACATTATAGATGGACTATCGTATATCTTTACAGTGACAAATCTACACTCAAATCTCTCTGACTCATTGTGATCAAGAAACAATCCTTGACTTGTACTGCCAGTGTTTCCTGGAAAAATAATGATGAAGCAATTTCCTAGAAGGAATGGAACTGCTAATGTTTATCAAGAAAGGTGTTTAATAAATTTGGTAAAGAGCGTGCATATCAAATATATTCTCAATAACAAAATGTTCGTCAACAATGGCAATCAGTCCAAAAGCATTGATTTTGGTATTACATTTACACAATTTAAGTTCCTTTTTTTTTCTAAAAGAACTTGTTTTCAATACAAAACTACATTGTTCACGTATCATATAGACCATTATGTGGGGAAACCCAGCCTAATATATCATATATACCATTATTTATTTCATATATACCATTATCTGGTGATACCTAGCCTAATATAATTATCATAAATACCATTATCTTGGATACCCAGTCTGAATTATCATATATACCATTATCTATATCATATATACCCTTAACTGGGGATACCCAGCCTAATATATCATAAATATCATTAACTTGGGATACCCAACCTAACATATCATATATACCATTATCTGGGGATACCCAGCCCAATAATCCCATCAGCTGGCATCCATTACAAACACCGAAGCTAAAAGTATCTTCCCGCTGTCTGAATGCTGCAAACTGATCTCTGATACTTGGATTGAACAAAGCTGTAGCTGCCCAACCTAAATATAACACAGAAATATATCAGTAAAATATGAATATTCAAAGTTGTGTTGAAGTTTTAAACTGACTTGTCCATTAAAAAGTTATGAAGGTATGAAATGAAGCACTGAACTACAAGAATGCAAAGAATGTCATAAACTAAGTCTGATAGATGTAATTGTTAAAGGAGTTCCACTATAGTCAAAAAGCCTAAAAGACATAAAATTTGAAATTTTTACAGGTATATATATCAATTGAAGCGCTTCGAATCGAAAAATAAAGATATACATATACTCATGTTAATTATTTTTGAGTAATTTTGCACAATAAAAATTTTTATACAGGAAAGATCAGAGTAAAGGAATATCTAAAAATTTGCATAAAAGTTACTGGATCAGACCTTCATCAAATGGTACCCAAATCTCGGAAAAATATTTCCAGTCCAGTTACGTCAAAAAAACTCATTAAACACTTTAAACGCTGGATCATAAAAATTTCTGATGATCTGATGATAAGCAAACAAATGTTGACTTGTTCATCTTTGTATACATTGTATTGCTAAAATATTAATCAGGAAGAAAATCCTACTCTCTTATTTTTTTCTGACATTTTATTGCAAGAATTTTCCTACATCCATATATATTTTATCTAAATCCTCAACTTGGCGGAAAAATTACAATTCCAGGATGAATTATCATAAATCTATTGCTCTGCTTTTTGCAACTGTGAATAAAAGACTATGCTTCTGTGAAACATATTTCAAAGGCAATATCATGATGTTGACTAACTGATTGACAAACAGACTGACCGGCAAGCTGACTCCTATATACTCCCCAAAATTTCGTTTGTAGGGGTATGATCACTGGTACGACATTTGCATATATTAATAAAATATAGTCAACACAGCAGTAGAATATCTGAACTATAAAACATATCTAGATCCATTTCATTTGAGATGGACATGCCAGATTCAGTGTTTCAAATTTACTATGTAAGAGTAGAGCTGTCATTGATATCAAGAATATATCGATATCGGATGACAAATATCAAATGATACATCAATATATAGATAATTACCATAATTACTTATCTGTCATTCACTTTCATACCTGTTTAAATGATTTCAGTAAAATTCATGTTCTGTTCAGTGTCTTTATAGATGGCAATTGCATGATTTTTTTTTCCTAACCATTTATTTTGTCATAATTGTTATGAAATATTTCCATTATGTAACAACAACATAGTGTTAGACATGGACACCTGCTTCTGTATATTTTTAGGGTGAATTTTCATAATTTCTAGACATTAAGTTTATTGGTCAAAATTATCTATTTTTATAAATGTGAACTGATTAATGATCATTAACAAATATATCAACAATTTAATGATATTGTTTATATCGATGGCAGCTCTACATAAGATGTTAAAAAATACATGTATGTATAAATATAAAAGAGACAAACATGTTTTGAATGATATGAAATGTATAAAAAGTTTCCTGTTTTTGTAATTGGTATGAAATCAGGATACCTTTAGCAGAACCAAGAACATCTGCATAGCTAAAACCTCCAACAAAAGCAACACCATGGAAACGGTCCAATGTAATACTACCAGAGCACAGGTCTTGCATGTTCACGTCCCAAACCTCAAACCCTCCCATCTTTAGTGCAGCCGCCATCTCCCTGTCACTGTTGCTACCTTCTTCACGAAGTACCGCCACACGGGGACACTTCTTGCCTGCAAAACCTAATAGTGTCAAGTCATTCTGTCATAATTGCCTAAAATTAAATTCTAGGACTTTAAATTTGTCAGAACAAATAAGTCTTTACAATTATGTAAGAAAAAATTAATACACTTCTGTGAATAAGGATTGTAGATCTTACCATTTACCTATTGCATTTATGAACAGTAATTGCCAATCTTTGAATTTGGTATAGGCAATTCAAAGATTAAGAGATTTCAGAATCAAATTACAACAAGAGCACTTGAGGCAGAGTTAACATTTGTCTGCCAAAGGGCCTCCACTGAGTTTTTTTTGACAGGACAGGATGTGAAATATTTTTCTTGATATGTGTACCACCATATGAAGGTCAGGACATTAACTTCTGTGAAAATTTTAAGGTAAATTCCTTATCCTGTTTTTCCAAAATATCCAAAAAATGAAGTGTTGCAATGTTTCTCACACTAATGCAGTTAAGAATCACACAAAATTTTGCGTGTATTTTAGGGAGAAAATTTATAGGTATATAATAATGACCGATATTAAAGTGTTTGCATGAGTCCATCACCCTGTAATAATAGAAGCTCAACCTTTTTCTTCAAAACAGATGAATATTCAGACTTTAGCAAAGGCTAATCACTGGAGGTTCAACAGGTTTAATGCTAAAATATTTATTGAAAATAAGAAATTAAAAAAAAAAATCTTGTCTTTTTATCATTGACAACTTCTGTGGACTGGTATAAAAATGTGTGAATGTCGATATAAACCCATTCTTAACATTCCTTTCCCAATCACTTTCTTATTAAGGTCAAAAAAAAAAACATTGCTTTGTTTAACATTATTGAAGGCAGTTCAAGTCCAGATTAACAAACGTCATACAACATAACATGAGTTAGCTAAAGAGACATCAGCGAACAGGTTTTATAGTACAGCTAGATCTACTGTCACACAATGTCAAAATAAAAGCGACATATAAAGTTATGAAAGCCAAAACTAAACATGAGTATTAGAATTCAGACAAACTCATGAACCTTTTCTTTTATCTTACAAAATATTATAAAAATTATAATAGACAATGTACATGCTTATTGATCAATGAACAAATTTTGGACCGAAAAATTACCCTGAAGCTTAAGGTACATTAATGTATATTCTAATTTTTGACTGAGTCACTAAACAAGCCCCTTTAAAAAAGGAATTACAATTTTCTTACATGTACTGCAGGTTTGAAACAAGACTACTGGTAAAACTGATGAATGCCCTACTAAAATGCCAATTTCTTCAAGCTGAATACACTGCTCTTCTTTCAAGATAAAACAATGACCTTATCAACTTGACGCACATATAAAGTGGCCCATGTCAAACTTATATAAGATCTTTAATCAATAAAATTTTAATGTAGGTGCTGTAAGAAACTGCAAGTAGGACAAAGGAAAACATGAAGGACGGAAAAGTTTGCATAACATAAAAAATACTACCAATATCTCGTACAATGTCAGATTTGTTTGTAGAATTGTCTTTAAAGTTTGTTCCATATAGGGACATAAAAGAAAAGCATTTTGTGGTATAATGGTTAGATGGGCATATTTAGCACTTTCACTGACATGTATGAATTCCAGACTGTGTCTATAAGCTTATAGCTTGCTACAAAATTGAACTAAATAAAACTTCTGCATGAAATAGTTACATGAATTAAAAATTAAAAACTATGGAAAGTTGACTGGCAGTGGTCGCTAAAGGACTAAACAAACCATGTAACTATTTCAGATATGTAGCATACTTCAAAAGACATGAGATTTTATAAATTCCACAAATTTTTTTGCTAAAGAGAAACTCTAATGATCAAATTTATTATCTCAAAGGCTATTTTCCACAAGTTAAAAGGAAACTTATCCAATTGTGAAGTGAAAGAAAAGTTCCCAATCAATTTTATCTATTTCAATATTGCCCTTTTTATACTTAAAATTTAGATGTGTTGTTCTTCCTCCTTTATTTACTTAAATGTAGTTGAAAAATTTAGAAATGAAAAAGAATTTTTTAATAATATTAAATTGTATACCCAGAAATAAATGCAAGGATTGCTGTATACTAGTGTTTTTTTTATTTCTAGTTTTTGTTTTACCAAACATTCCAGTGACACAAGTCATGATATATTTATCCAAATTAGAAAACTCTATGTAAACTGTCTACAGTAAATTTAGATGGGCAACTTTAATAATTTTATGTTATTTTTAGATATGGTAATTTAAAAATTCAAACCTTAACTTAAAGAGACTCAAATGAGTATATTTTGACATGAAGGGATTGTTAATAATTTTTCAGATTAATGTTAAATTTGATTAAGGCTTGAATAAGTAACTTGTTTGCAAAATTTCATATCATTCCCTTCCTCTGTTTTTTCCAGGATAATTATTATACTTGTACACCGATTTTCACTTAAACGAGGCTAAGAATGGCACAAAAAATATCAACACTAAATTCATTTCCAAGTGTACATTTTAATTATCTTCTGCAAATCTTTCTGATGAAAGTGCCCCAGCAGATCTATGTAAGAAACTCAAAATTTATGGGTTTTTTTTATGTTTCTAGTTTTTGGACTTCAGAAGAGTTCCTTTAACCTCCTGTAACCTAGTGATTAGCCTTTAAGCCACTAGTCTGCACATCATTAAAGTATGACCAAGCTCTATACTACTGAAACACGTTGCTCAATTTTCATATTTTGATAATGAAATCCCTTACACTTGAAATGGACTGTTCCAAATTCAAAGCTGGTCAAATTCAACACACACATTCAGGAGGTTCAGGGTTTAAGCCATTTCAAATTTCAAACTATGCTCACAATGTTCACCCTATATAATCTCTAGGAATAAACTGTGTACATGTCAAAACATTGAACTAAGATGGTATGAAACAAACAAAATGATTACATAAAAAGTGCTAACATTCAGTCATTAACACAATTTTTTATTTGCGTAAAACATTATTAACACAATAAATGATGAATCATACTCATAAATTAATATATCAGTTTACAAGTTAGAAAACTGAGAAAATTTTAATATTGAATTTCATCCTGAACTATTCACTTGCTAAAATTGATTAACAGTTCCTAATTTTCTATAGACCAAGGCTATGATATTCTTGAAGGATTTAATAAAGGTCACTTAGTAAACAAGGAATAAAATTGCTGTTGGTTAAACAAAGATCATAAAATCACTTTATGTGGAATGTATCTGAGAAACACTTTAATATCTCTGCTTTAATATAAAATCTTAAACATGTAATATACTTGAGGTAGTAGAGGACAAAGAGAAACCACACGTCACCACCTAATAGGTTAAAATACTTTATTATAGTCTACTAGTTTCGATCAAACATGATCTTCATCAGGACATAATATACTTGTGCATTTGTCACAGAGTAAAAAAAACACAACAACCTACAGGCTTCGTTTGTTGATTGAGTTTTATGTCACAGCAACACAGTACAGGTCATTATGGCAACGTTCTAGCTTTACTGGTGGAGGAAAACCTCAGGTGCCCTTCCATGCATTATTTCAGGCACAAATTGGCATCTAAGTAGAACCACCGACTTTCTGTAAGCTGCAAGTCAGACCATGACTCTAACACAAGACCTTCATAATGTTGTTTTGCAGCAAAACAAACTGAGCTATATGGCAGCTTACATTTTCTTCCCTAATGTGACAGATGGACAAACACTTTTGCCAGTATGTTTATGTAACATTAAACCTTTAAGTACTATTGACTGCTGACAATGACAAACCATCCCCACCAATATACCATCAGGCCAGCCTGCAAACTAATACAACCTGACCAGATATCATCTGCTCAATTTGAAATTCCTAAAACTCCAAATTCAAAGAAGTGCTTATCCATTATATATCTTTTCCATTTTATATCCTTTTCAGGGTGTTAGGGCTTTATATAACAGTATTAAATCATTCCTCAAGCCTCAGAAATTCAAGTATGCTGAAACTTTGTATTAGATAAAGTAATATCTAAGTTTCCACTGAAAAAGCTTAATCTATATCCAAAACACAAACAAATTGCTATCTAAAATTATTGTTTAAAATTTTGCATCACCACTTAAGGGGAGCACTGGCTCAGTGTTTAAGGTGTCTCCCTTTCAAGCCAGGGTTTATTGGTTCGAGATGTACTGCAGTCACAGTACTGGTAAGTTTTTGAGTGGTTCTAAAAGGCTAAAAGATTGGATCACAATCCAGCTTTTATTTTCATTTTAACAGCCAGAACTGTTTTAACAAAAGTGACATGAAGTCTGTTTTAACCTTTATAGCCTCTAAAATCCTCAAAGAGCATTGGTAATTAAAATAATATTAAATCAATCCTTGTATTTAATTTAGTCAGCTGAAAAGACGTAATCAATGCAATGTGCAATGCCACATAACCCTTACCACACTAAATATCATAAGTGGGCATGGCCATCTTGCAATCGGGACAAAACCATTCATCATTTTTAGGGAATGTTTCATAATAAGTGTTGACTAAAGAGTGAACAGTGCAGACCATGATAAGTCAGCAGGGAAATGCCCACTCTTGGTCTGCACAGGTCACATGGGAATATTCAGAGGCAACCATCAGACTAAAGTTTAAATCCCTTGATCACAGTTTACGACATTTTACAATCGTCAATAGAAAATTATAATTATGGCATAATAAGAATCAGAAAAGGGAATAAGAAGTCTTATACCATAGAGTCTGGGCCACCTTTCAGAGAGTGGCCAATCAAATTGCAAGAAATATTCTCTGCAGTGAATGCCTCAGCCACATACTGAGCATCTGCTTCTTTAACTTCCAAAACTAATCCAAGTTCTTCATGGAACAGAGCTTCTATAAAACTTCCATCTGTAAAATAATGTCATAAGAAAACTTACACAAAACATGGATCATACAAAATTCTTACTTGAAAATTCAAGGGATTTAAAAGGATTTGCAAAGCCAAGGTTAATGAAAAATTGATCCACATTATACATTTAAATATCTTCCAATTCAAAATTGGCCGGGTAAAAAATTTTCCTATTAAAAAATTTCTGACCACAATTATTCTTAGCATAGTTCAAAATTCCTACTATGTTTAAATTCTCAAAGGTAAATTACTTTTCGTGCAATCAAAACAGGAATTCATTCATTATCTCTTTGTCAGAAAAGATACTAAGACACACCTTACACCTACATAAATTTGCTATCTTAATGAAAGTGTTGAAAGTATTAAGTGGTGGAAGGAAATAATATAGCAATCATATTTGCACATATCATTTCTCATATTTTTTGTCCACAATGATACTAAGCCATATGAATATGGTAAAGTCAAAGTTTCAAGCAAAGTCTGTTGCCAAAAAACACATCATTTTCTAGATGTCAAGATAAATGATAATAATAGCCGTATCATGACAAAACCAACATAATGGGTTTGTGACCAGCATGGATCCAGACCAGCCTGCGCCTCTGCGCAGTCTGATCAGGATCCATGCTGTTCGCTTACAAACCCTATAACAAGTAGAGAAACTGATAGCGAACAGCATGGATCCTGATCAGACTGCGTGGATGCGCAGGCTGGTCTGGATCCTTACTGGTAGCAAACCCACTATGTTGGTTTTGTCGTGACACGGCTCATATATAATAATAGGACACATCTCTGTCAAGGCTACAATTCTCAGGCAATCATGTATCTAGTATTCTTTCATAAACATGCATCATTTGAGGTAAATCTTTCATAAAAAATTAAATCTTGATGCTGCAGACAAATGATGAAACATTTTTATGTAAAAAAAAACATAAAGTCAAGCTAAGTTTGGAAGAAAAAAAAACACACAAAAAATCTTACATTCAAATGACATATCAATGTCAAGGCCACAGTTTCCAGCAAATGCCATCTCTAGTATACATGTTATCAATCCACCATCACTTATATCATGACCAGATACAATCTTTCTCTCTGAAAACATACAAAGCATTGTCAAAATACCATCTACTACTTTACTATCATTATAACATATATATCTCACAAAACTACATGTACAACACACAAAAAAAACAGAATTGACTACATACAGTCAGAATTGAGCTATACTTTTGTCAATTGTGGAGATGAAAAAAAACGAAACTTAGAAAACACCTTATTTCAATCGAGCACTATTATTTGTTTGAATATCAGTTGCATTAATGGATGTTCTGTTATTCTGCCCTGACAGAGCTAAAATCAAAATATTACACACTTTAAATGGCATTTACATCATTACAGTGATTTTTTTGTTGTTGATTTTGACCCCGAAATAAGGCCTCTTCACAATGCCAAAAACACATCAAAAATTCACAAAAATGTGTAAAAAATTCACAATTGGCAGGATTACTTTCAGTACCAAACAAAATAATGAACTGACAAATGGAACTGACAAATGACAATCTTGAGAATTTGATTGATATATTTGAGGGAATAAAAAGAAGAAAGCTTAAACTATGAACATAATTATTAAATGTATGAATAAAGTGACTACAGGTGATGATTTATTCTGATTCATTTTTTCTCAATTTGACAGATTATCGCACTAAAAATTCACAATTTCAGGGCTATGGGTTGTGAAAAAAGTTTTAAAAAATCACTGCATTAAACTCTGTACTGAACATGTATGTTTTGACAGTCAACAAAGAATACTAAAATTTTATAACATGAAACAATGTAAACAAATTTTTATGGTAACTAAAAATAGAATTTAATATGATCTATTACATTTGCATAAAAATTGGTTATTGACAAAAACAAAATTTTAAAGTTCATTACATAACCACGAAAACAGAAAACATGTTTACTATTCATTTGAGATTTACTTTCAACTTGTTAATAAACAATCACACATTTTTCATTACACACTGCAGCTTTGGTAGTAAACAAAATTATATAACCTAAGTATATTTCTACATACATGTAGGTTCTTTTAAAAAAAATATATTATATTACGTATTTTAATACAAAACAATGCTGCAACAGATATCAGGATGAGGGTCAATGACAAATGTCCTCCTACCATTTTGCTCTAGCCTTCTCATTTTCTCTTACCACTGAGCAGCAAATATGTTGCCCTATTTCTAAGTATTGGGCTTATAAGATATTGTACATTTATTTTTTATGGAAAATGGCCATTCCCATCAAAACCTTTTAATTCACTTTCACCAAGTAACACTTGTTACCTCTAAATATAGCGCATTTAGTCATTCAAGATTTTTAACTGATAGGGCATCTCCTCCTTGCATAAAACATCGAGGCATAATTCTCTTTTCTTTTTTTGCATAAGGCATCTGGGGAAAAGTCTATGTCTTTGTTTATTTGCAAAAAGCATCTAGGCATAATTTTTTATCTTTGTAAATTTCACTTAAAAGACAATTGCTATTTTATCCTTTTCAGGTATAAATGGTCACATGAATAGAGAACCATCAATGTTCTGTAAGCTAGCTGAATAATTCCTCACATGAAAGAATCCAATCGAACCTACAGCGGTGAGGGACAAGTAATTTGAAGTCAACACTCAACAACCTTTACAACTAAGCCACAGACGCCCGTTTCACTATTGATAATTTAATTTAAAATGATAAAAAATTCGCTCTTGCAAAAAAAAATTGACCTTTTTGAAAACCTAGCTAAACACCGTTTTCCGGTACGTTATGGATTAAGCTCTGGGGAATTACACCAAATATACATATATATATATATAACACAGTTACGTGGTATTTCTATTTTTCTATCATTATTTTACTGTTTAAGGTGAAAAAAAAAGAAAATTATCAATATTCTTTTAATATCTATTGCAAATTTTTCAAAACATAAATTGTTTATAATGAAAATCAATAAAATTAAAATAGAAGTAGTGGAATCTTCCATAATAAAAAAGGTTATTTTCTGCGTAAACTTGTGTATTTACATGGAATTATTCATGCAATGATATTTAATTATTTTCTTACAAAGAATTATTTGTTTCATTTCAATTTAATTTTAAAAAAGGCCAAAAACATAGAGTTCGCTATTACACTCCATTAGGTTAATTCCCCAGAGGTTTTCAAATTCGTGAATATGCCTAATAGGATTTTACCCTACCATTTTTTGGACAAAACAGTAATGTACAGTACTTCTTTTTTAACCCTGCATAAATATTGAGTTTCATCTTTCAGCTCCAATGTAATTACTCCGATCCTTTCTTAAGTCTCCTGGAGTGTTTAATTATTTTTGTTTGTGACTTTCTACGTGACTTTACTCAAGAAAGCAGAATCATATTGATGCGTGAAGATATTTTATCCATACATGTGAACTCTCCCACTTAAGGCGGGAGACTCCCACTTTTTTCAGCCATATTTTCAAAGATTTTTTCTTAAAATAAGGGGTATTTTCACAATTTAAAGAAATCTCCCTATTTTTGATGTCAGAACTTCCTTCTTTGTTTATTGCAAATTCTAAAATCCCCCTCTTTTTGAAGAAAAATCTCCCACTTGATTATTGAAAAAAGTTCACATGTATGATTTTATCACATATGTGTTTCAATTTCCAAACCACACACTCTCAAGAAATCAATTATGTAATGAACTTAAGCTGCAAAAACAATGCTTTAGATGTGAGAAAAAACAAAAAGGTTCTAAGAAAAACCAGAAAAGTGTGAAATAAAGATCCCTGCTAAAATGATCTAACATTCCTCAACTAAAACAAACAAAAGGTGATCTTGATCAAAGTCGCCTTTCCAACATGTAAAAAAAAAAAAAAAATTAAAAAAAACAAACCTTCAATAAGCTTCTGGGTGATGTTGAAAACTGACTTCAATACTTCTGGATGATCAAGATCAGGTGACTGGTTACCAAGCTGCTTGTAACACTGAGCAAATGCTGTCCCACCAAGGCGGCATTTACCATCACTTATATCAACATACAAGATACAACCTAAAATAAAGTAAAAAAACTTTCATCAGAAAACATTGATAATTTAATAGTAAATTCAACAGCTTATTTATGAATTATTACTATCAAAACATGGATTATATATCTACAAATAAAAACAATCTAAAAATCATTTAATACTAACAGCAAACCATTATAAACAAGGCCACAACTTAATTACTATGAAGTTAAGGTCATCATATTCCGGATTTGACATTTACTTGGACAGGCAATGAGTTCATAAGACCTTTGATGCTCCAAATCATACTCGTACTGGTTTCACCTTTAAAGGTCAAGGACCATAATGGATGCTTTATATCAAATATCATTTGCCTTGTGAGCATGTAAATGAGGTTTTTTTTTTTTGGTTGCTTAAAATCAGACTGCTATTTGTAGAACCAACACTGCAAAATTTTAACAGTAGCTGATAAAAAAACCAAAAACTCTTTAAAACATTCTTGTAGAAAGACTTTCTAAGAGTTTGATAAAGTTTTTGAAAAATGAAAAACTTCTTCTGCCCACTCTTTAGGCTAGTTCTAGGAATAAAAAACATAGACTAATACATGACAATTTGACATTGTGATAAGGAATTTGACTCAAGAGTTTTACTTCAAATCTTTATAAGGAACCCATCATCAACTTTGCCCTAGAACTTTCAAAAAAGTCTGTAGAAAAAACTTTATATATATCTTGTGTCGACAAGAATGAGTTCCATGATACTATGGAATAGTAAAATACTTTATAACCTTTTCCATCTGGTGTTTTGAGATCTGGAGTAACGGTCAGTGTGATATCTGGACAAGTCACATACGTTGAGATCACCAGAGTACCTGAAATAATAAATATACAAGTTTTAATTGTCTACTTGACAGTTCATCAATCTAACAAAGATTTCAAAATCATTGTATTATAATGTCCTCCTAATGTAACTTGATACGGTCTCTTCAATTTCAAAACTTGTATTATATGTGTATAATTATGTGTACTTGAAATATGATGAAACTCTATCAGATGTTATATCCATATTTATTATATACATGTGTACGATTTTGCAATTAATGAGGTTCCACACTTGTTTGTTTGTTAAATTGGGTTTTACGTCACACCGACACAGTATAAGTCATATGGCAACGTTCCAGCTTTACTTGTGGAGGAAGACCTCAGGTGCCCTTCTATGCATTATTTCAGGCACAAACAGGTATCTGAGTAGAACCACAGACGTTCTGTAAGCTAGCTGGATAGCTTCCTAACATGAAAGAATCTTAAGTCCCTTTCAGGATTCGAACCCACAGCGGTGAGGGGCAAGTGGTTGGAAGTCAAAGACCTTCAGCACTCGGCCACGGACACCCCGTTTCCACACTATCTCAAGAGTACTGCTCAATTAACACAGTGAGCTGAATGTGTTATCGTCGAGTGACCCGTTTTTACGCTGCCCTATTTCGACGCCATTTATATTATGCCTCGTCATAACTGTACTACGCTATGGCAAAAGGGGATTCCTCTAGTTTGTCGGGTAACAATATGTAGTAAGTAAGACACCCAAAGGTAAGATTTAGCATGTTAAACCTTATTTAAGAGATTTTTGTATGATTTCACTAATGCAATTTTGACCCTCACTTTACTATGTCATGTTTTCCTTGAAAAAATCGGCTGGAAAATACCTCCCTGTCTGCTGACCTCATTTCCTTATTCTCAGGTCACGTGGCAGATAAATTACCCAATAGTGTTGTTTTGGGCACATTTTTTCACCCCAAAGCAACCTGTACGTGTTGTATATTTTTTTACGGTTATTAATCGATTAATGAATGTTAATTGAAAATTAATTGGATATGTTTATCTTATTTGGATGGAATGAATTGCCATATTTTAATTAGTTGCTCTACTAAATGTATTATTTTGTTTTTGCAGGTTCAACAAAGGAAGTAAAGGTGCAATTTTCCAACCTATATTATTGAGCAGAGGAGGTCAAACAGACTAGGGCAACCGTCCAAACCACTGTAAAAATACAACAATAGCATTTACCATATATAATTATGCTTTATTTATGAAAGAAATAAAGAATAGATAAACTATTTTTCACTTGTTGATACTTTGCAGGTCTATGCTCTTGATATTGGTGAACAACGTAAGTAAAAGTATTATGGTGTACAGTCTCCTGTAGTGTGTAATTAAATTAGCCAATCAATAGCGTCGTTTTAGGGCACTCTCAATCAAAATGGCCGCTCCCGGATGAAGTGAAAGTAGGATTGTTCATGAAAAGGAATAGCTGGAAAACAGCTTAAATTTACCCATTTCATAAAGGTTAGAGATTTTTTAAAAAGTTAAAACATTTTATACAATACAATCACATGGTTTTTATAGACGCATACAAAACAATCCTTATGGGCGTCGAAACTGGTCACTCGAGGATAACCATAAAACTGAAAAAAATTCTTCAACAAAGTAAAATCATTATAAGTTTAAGTGATTTCAATATCAAAATCAACAGAAATATAGAGTGAAAGTAAGGAGTCAGGTAACATAATAAAGACGATGATGATGAAATCCATGCTTAATGAGGGTCCATCAGTCCTTTCAGATCGCTGTCGAATACGGACCCCATATAGATGTTAAGTTTGAACTGGTTTTATAAAGAAGTCCCATTTTAAAAATAAAAGATTACCTGTAAAAATATCAAAAAGTTTTCACACAAATTTTAGAATGATTGTATAATTCATAAGCTCACGAGTTCCGTTGGTATCTTTACATGATACAGGATATCCGCAATTAAATAACAGCTATGTATGTGGTACAAGAATAGCACCTGGAGGAACATGTGAACAAACAAAATACCAACACGACTGAAAACTATTATTTCTGTAAAGGTGACAGTGAGATAATAAAAACATGACAATCATCGTGAAAGGCTATAATCAACAAACAATATAAACAAGATTCCCTCTTAAAAGAGATGGAAATTAACTTCCTAGTAAATGAAATTCCAGCTCTACTTTGCTTAATTTAACTGCACATTTAAAAATATCTATAATTATGACCATTTAGTTAAAGATTTTCAGTAATTCTGAGACAGAAATTGAAAGTAACTTCACAAAGGAATACTTGACAGAAATTCACAAAGGTTATTTATTCAGTTAAAGTTTAAACCAGAGAAATGGGCCTTCATCATTAACCTACAGGTATAACCCAAAAGACATTTCTAAAATAAAAAGTGAATATCTTCTATAGTTGTAAAATTGGACCAGAGTACCCAAACAAGTTCCACACAAGTACACATGTAAAGCAGACAAACAGAAAAGAGATGATTGACGAGTTAGTGCTCTCAATTCATGAATTTTGATACTAATCCCCTCTTAGAAAAATATATATCTTATAGACTTTAAAATAAACATAACATTTAAAGTTACATTAAATAAATATGTAAAAATATTTTGCCGTCGACCTAAAAATCAAGCATTTTACAGTATCATTAACCTGTTTAACAGTATTGTTGTAAAATCATCAAATATTGTTCATAAATTAGGATTTTAAACGGAAAATCCCACGGTAACACTAAAGTTCGTATACGATTTTTAACATGCAAATGAAGATTATAATCAGCTTGTGTATGCGCTAAGTCACAGTGTTATAGCAGCTCAAATATGAGATTTTCTTGTGCAAACACATTTTAACCGTTTAACTTCACGGTGCATTAGGCCCGAGGTTCAGTAAAATGTAATCATCTCATAATCAAAGCACTGAATGTACTGATGGGGAGGCTATGACAGAATGTTTCAGACTTCTAGTTTCTTTTCGTTTTGCTTAAAATGTGCTGTTATTTCAATTATTACCAAAATAAGAAGATATGCACATTGCGCTATTTATCCTTACTGTTGTGTTCAACCATTCATATATATGGTTAATATGGTTGACTATTCATTTTGCTAATATACCAGAACATTTCATTGAGGTCTACAATCGGACTGTTAATCATGCAAATTTTGAAAAACCTAAACTGTCAATAATAAATGACATACCAGCAAGTATGACGACTGTTCATTATAAGATAACAATAACATTTTACAACTGACGGTTCCTTATCAAAATATTCTAGGACTGTTCATCATAAAAACTTTATGTCATTTTAATATTATTGAATGATAATAACAACTGCAAGTTATGCAAAATTTTTATTGGACATTAAAAATTATACACATTTACATGTACCATAATTGAGATCAATAAGATACTGTCTTGTGATGAGTATTAATATTCATGCTCTACGGACAGAAAGTTGTCTTCTCGAATAAAAACACGTTTCAGAAAATTATTCCCATTTCATTACTGACAGCGTCGGATAATATGAAAGCTAAATATTTCTTGAAAAAAATACATATCTGCAAAGCTTATTCAAAATTGAATCAACCTAATTGAAAATTGATCAGGAAGTTATATCTTCTTTTTTACCGCCAACACTCAACCAACTTATGGTAGTTCGTGTAGTTTTAAACCTCACTAGCTTGAAATATATACTGCGGAAAATCTGTTGTTAACAGGGTTTGCGGTTATCACGTAGGGTTTTCCCTGTCGACCATTTCCCGCAAATAGATAAGAACATCGAAGCGTCAGTGCTATGAATGGTGTTATAAATGGCGTGTTTTGGAAGTTTTTGTTGAAACTTCTCCAAATCCCTCCAGAGGCGTGCACGTCGCGGAGAAGGCACACGGAAGGTCATGGTCAAGTCATCATAAGTACCAGAGGTGATTGGTTGACCTGTCGTGACTTACTCTGGAGGTTTGGCGCTAATAAATGCCGTTTTTGTTGTCGTCAGTCGGAGTTGATGCCTTGACAGTATTGTCGTCTCCTTTACCACCAACAAACGAAGAATGAAACGAAGATTCTGCTTGAAAAAGACGTCCCCGATGCTATAATCTCGGACATATGGTTATTCTGGCGCCGAGTATAAATAAACTTAAAACACACACACTTTTGTTGAAAAAAAAACAAAAAAACAACAACACATTTTCTGTAGTAATTTTTCAGGTGTTGTAAAATGAATACGAAATTCCTCTTATGCCGCGAATTATTTGTTAGAACACAGACATATAAGTTTTTATTGTTTTTTGTTTTTCAAATAAACTTTAATCACTTCCGCGCGCGCAAATATCGTTTTCAAATTAAAGTTTCGTAAGATATGTTAATGACTTCCCGATGCTCGACTGTAAGTCATTCGTATATATATGCGTTTTTTTTCTTTTCTTTTTTTTTCTTTTTTAAAGCTTCTTATTCTTTAATATTTTTTATGTATCTCATAATCTGTATTGAAAATTTGAATTTTATTACACATGGACTATCAAATTATGATGCGTTGCCCTAGAATTGAATAAACTTTCTAATTTCACAATACGGGGTCATTCATTTGATTGAAGACTGATCTTTGCGTCTTTCTCTGAAAAAGTTATTACCTTGTTAAAACATAATTATTTGACCACATATTTCTGTCATTTATCTGTTCACTTTACTTCCGATTTCTGTTGTACGGAAACACATGTTTCTATTTGTGTTTTCTAATCAATTCGAATCTATAATCAGTTTAATGGGATCACCACCGGTACTACTACTAGGTACTTTGGTCATGTTTTTTACCCCAAATATTTGAATGTTTCTATTGGGATTAAAATGAGCGTAGTTAACTTAACAACTGGTTGTATAAATCCCTGACCTGTCTAATTCTAATTTTGAGATAGTGGGTATATTAAGACTTTCACTACAAAATATTCCTAAACAAAAGAGCACATGTTTAAATTTATTCCTATACAAATAAAAGATCAGAGTAGGGATCTGTCAATTGCCAGACATATTTTTACAAGATACTTTTATGTTAAAAGCTTTGATTAATGAATAATGTAAGATGAAAATATAAGTATTGCTTTTTTATTTTGCTAATGTAAAATAAAATCGTGTGCTGAAATTTTGTCGGAGGGTCCTTACGGGTTTTGTAGTTAAATAGTTTTTTTTCGGCGATAATGGTTCAAGAATATAATGTTTTAAAACTATATGTTCATCACCATCAGTGAATTTTTAGTTAAATGTATGCAAAATATTTACTAACAGCTATATGATATAGCGGTTTATGAGCGTTTTCCGCGTACAACCTCCTAGGGTGTACTAATAAGTTAGTTTTCCTTTGTTATCACGCAAGCATGATCCATGTCTCTGATGTAAGCGACAGTTTACAATTATTTGTCTTTAAAAAAATATTAAGGACTATTAATGGTTTATAACAACAAAAGAACATGCATGATATTGAGAATACGGTGTTGCAACGTTCTAGTTAATGACCCGTCATAAACAGTTGGTCGCTGCGTAGTAATTGGAAAATTGTTATCAAAAATAATAAAGAATATTTGCCACCAAATTAAAGCATATACTTATAAATTTTCATTTATGCTTTTTGTTAAAAAAATATTGATAAAGTTATTATATAGAAGGGTTTTCATACCAAAACTATTTATGACCAACGTACGTATGCCTAAACCTGATTACCGCGGCAGTATGACGTCACGGAGTAGTGATTTTGAAAAAATAAACAACTGTTTCAGAGAATTATTATCTTTACAAATTGCAGACATGAAGTTAAAGAATGAAAACATTTTCATATTTAATAATTCATAATTGTAAATGTCTGTGATGAGTGATGAGTCAGCTTAAAAAATCAAGGTACTATTTTTTGACCTGATTACCGCGGCAGTAAGATTTGACAAATGGTATTAACATTGGGGAGGCATAGCCTCCCAAAAAACAGAATGAATTTGCATGAAAACATCCGTTAAAATGCGGAAATATACCGTTAAATTAGAACTGCTACTTATAGTCATGTTTGTTGATTTAATATTGATGTACGGATGATCTGAAGGCGGAGTTTCTCATGCAAACAGATATTGTACTTCCGAATTCACCACAATGAGGTTGTCCATTTTTATGCTTATAAAACTCATTTTGGTTGTCTGGACACCAAAATAAGATCTGGAGTCGATATGAAAACCCAATTTATTAATGAAATGTCACTATTTCTGTTTTTATGAATTTTATTAAATGTAACTTTAAATGTTTTTTTAGTCTTCCTAAATTGAAACAAAATCAAACTGTTCACTAGCGTAGCTTTATTTAAACACTGTGTATTCATAGTGCAAATTTTTCAATAAATGTAAATTTAACAATGGTTACACTATTTACCTCACACTGATAATTTGTAAATACAATTTATACCTATATATTTATATTCTGAAACTGTAAAAGGTCATAATTTAAATTATATACCAATGGCCTGTACCTTTTTACATAGTGGCATAATATTTCTATACCAAATGTGGCTTATGGCCCCATTACATTCAAATTCTTGACAGACCTCTGCAATTCTCATGACAAGGGTGAGTGGGATAGCTGAAAAATTTGAATTGGTAATTGTTTCTAACTTTAAACCGGCTAAGTAAGATAAAAACAAACCTGGAGCTTTAACTGTGTTATCACCAACTCGAGCAGCCATGCTGAGAGAGTCCTTCCCTCCATCTATTGCAATACCAAGTCTCTCCATCACATTACACATGGCTTTACATGCATCCACTAGATTAGCACCCTCACCCTGCAACTTGGCCGACCACATCCAGTTACCACTACATTTCACATCCTGCGAGTAAACAATTACCGTAATTCAGGCAAAATTGAGTCAATGGAAACATAATCTTCTGCGATATATTTTACACATCTTTTAACATTTTCTTATATCATTTTTTCCTTCTAGACAGATACTAATTATCTCCCTTAGACTGTAAATATGATTACCTGTTCACCTCTTCAGGTGGTACAGGTTCCCCTTTGATTTGAATGTAATTTAATGTAATCATTGACATTATTTGATATAATTTTCTTTGTTATTTTCTTACATCTTCGTAAGTTGTCATTTGTTTAGTGGTTTTGTTCTGCTAAAGTTTTAGAACATTTTATATATAAGTGAGTTTGAATAATCCAATATTAACTCTTAGCCTGCATACAGTAACAGATTTTACCCATGTAACCGGGGTGGACCAAGGTCAGTACCACATCATTGTCAGCTAGCATATCTGTACCATCTGATCATGGCCTGCACTGTTCACTTTTCAGTCAGTACTTTTTTGAAATTTTTCATAAATGTAATGTAATGAATGGCTTTGTCCATGTAGAAAGATAAACAAATCCATTAAGTGTGTAAAGTTAAGGAAAGTAAACATAGCAATCAACAGTACTGATCAGTTTTTATCACTTTAGAATACTGCATGTAGCATTCAAATATAAAAAGTACAGTCAATAAGATAACTTTTCATTTTACCGGTCAAGTATTTTGAAAAGAAAAGTTACATTGAACATTTCTGCCCTTTTTGCTTACTTTGAGATCAGACACTTTAGCAAAGACTAGATTTGTTAAAGCCTCTCCTACAGCCATCCTGGCTCCACATGCTGGGTCTATCAAGCCTTTGATTGGTTGTTCTCCAATGGACGTGGCTGAACCACGTTTCTCCATGTATGACAGGGCTGTTACGGCAACATCTGCTAGAGGTATGTGCAGGGGACCAACACACTGTTGCTGGGCAACCAGACCTGTTACACATCTATCTACCTGAGAAAAAAAGGAAACAAAAAGCTAAAACAAGGTATTTAAATCTTTGTGAAGAACCTTAACAGAATAATTTTTGGTCTAAACATGGACAAGACGTCTTTAATGCTATCACTCTTCAAGCCATAGTTCAAGCAAAAAGGTGTCTTAAAAATACCTTTTGTCGGATAACTCAAACATTGAAATTTTATTTCTTTTCATGCAAAACTTTTTTTTTTACTGTACAACTGAAAACAGAAACCTGTCATTTAAATGATTATAAAAAATACAACATACTTTTAAACAAATCTAGCCTCTAGAACAATTTTTAACATTTTCTTCCAAGAAACATTCTTAAACACATAATGAGGAATGAATAAAGGCCTGTAAACATGCACAGTGGATGAAAAGTGCATATAATAATTAAATGTACAAATGGACAGGTTGTCTCTATGAACCGGCAGAGTCACAATAATTAAATACCTTTTAGTTCAAGGTCCACTCGAGAGACCTTAAGTCAAAGGTGCTTTTTATCACACATTTGACACTTTAAACTTTATAAATTGAATTTACTAAATTTTTGCATACCTTATTTGTAAGGTATCTTTTGCTAGCTACAGAAGGCAGTCGGAGGACACGTTCTAGAACTTCTCTCACACTCAAGTCTGGAGATATACACATAGGCTGTAGGGGTAATGGCTCATGTTTCAGATGAAAGACCTGTATAAAATCAATATCACAAATTCAACATGCAAATTATAACACAACCTGCAATCTTTATACTGTAAAAAAGTCAGTAGTAAAAAAAAAAAAAAAAAAATTTGTAATCTCAAAAGTTATACATTTATTCTTTGGCAAACTGCCAGAAATTTGACAAGAAATAAAGACAAGACAATTAAAAATTTTTACAATATTAAATATATTTTTTTTCTTTCCTTTTATATAAGAAATGTAGAAAATATTATCTGAATATTCAAAACTGTTAAACATAGTAAACACTAATATTTTAAGGAAAAAACACCCACCCTAACCCCTTATATAGCATGTAATGAACACTACATTCCTGTAACCTCTAGCAAAGAAAAAAAAACCCACAGCATGCCTCCATATATAAAAGTCTTTTCAGTAAAGTTACACTAGCCCATCACAGAGTACTATTTATTCATTTACTAATTTGGATCTTTCAGAAATTCAAAACAATAAAGATATTGGTTACAGTTTTCACAAAATACTAAAAACAAGCAAGAGTATCAACAAATACATGTGCATTACACAGACAACAAGGGGATAACAAGAGGAAAGGGTAAAATATATAAAGCTGTCTACAAACAGTTTATATACTAAGCTCATCTTTGCGTAAATTTTTTTTTTTCAGAAACTTATTGAAATCTAGTGAATTTTTACTGAAAATTTCTAATTTGAATAAGAAAATACATTAACTATATTCCGGAAGCTACATTCCCAAATACTGGTCATTTTTTTTTGTCCTTTCTTTATAAATAAGCTTTCAGTTTGTTTGTTTTTTATAACAAAACATATCCCTTCTCTGTGGACTCAAAGATGTTTATTTTACATTTAAAAAGAGGTAATATCAGGTTGTTTTTTTCACATATAGTTGGCTTGAAGACAGAAGTTGCTCCTATCTCTTTTCATTGTTCCTTTTGCTTGACTAGCTTGAACCCTAAATTTAGCTTTCAGGTCAGAAAGACATGATTTCAAGAAAATATAATCTTTCAGTATGTTGTATTTGAGAGGACTAAAACAATGCATAACACCATGAAGCCAGTTTATAACAAATAGGTTTTACTGTACTAGTTATCAATACAATATAATGATATACATGCATGATAAATTCATGGCTTTGTTATATAGAGTTTTTTTCCATAAATAACAGCCCCAAGTCCTTTACCAGCAGGCCACAGAGCTCTATACATTATGTCCAGCAGCTTTGCATAAATGTTTAAATGGATATTACACAAATTTAAATAAGGCATTTAAGGATCTGTAATGAATGTATTTGAAATCAATCACTCAGACACTTATCATTTTATATGATTATATATACCACAGCTTCAAATATATCATTTTGTCAAATAATTAAAAAAAAATATATATTTTAAATGCTGTTGAGTTTGGAGTTTGGATTCCAATGGGATAACAAAACAAACAGATTACAAGAGGTTCTAGGATATAACATAATACTGTAAAAAAGCTAAATTTTTACCTTTGGGAAACCTGGCCAAAGATTACAAAAAAAATATACATATGAGTTAACTTCAAAATGTAAAGGTAGCTATTATTAATATATAAAGAACATTGAGCAACATTAACAGACATTTATTATTATGATAAGACAATTAGAGACTTTAGGATGTAATTCAGTCAAAGTATCAACATAGTAAGCCTGCCAAATAAAATCTATTCAATAGAAATAAAAGAATTATTTAAGCTGCACCATAACAAAACCAATATAATGGGTTTGCGACAAGCCTGCGCATCCGATCAGGATCCATGCTGTTCGCTTACAAACCCTATACCAAGTAGAGAAACTGATAGCAAACAGCATGGATCCTGATCAGACTGTGCAGAGGCGCCGGCTGGTCTGGATCCATGTTGGTCACAAATTCTTTCTGTTGGTTTTGGCGTGATGTGGCTCATTTATATTTTATAGAATTTTTATCATCTCTGTACTTCAAGACAATGATATTGAAATGTCAATATGCTGCAATATTAATCAATCCCATTCAATATACACCAATCAGAAATGAAAGTTTAGTAATTATTGTGTTAATATTACTATAGTTACTTATTCCTTCAGAAAACAATGACTCACAGGGTAATGACTTTTCAGGGCACTTAAAGGTCATTGTCATGTACCAAGATTTTGAAAGCTGTTTTCAATTGTTTATTCTTAAAGTGCAATGAATTGATGGAGATTGAGTGGAAGAGCCAAAGTCATGGTTTCGAGTTCAACTAGGGGTGAGAATCTTTTTTGACCTGGTGCCATTGCTGGCAAAATCAAATGCCCAGGAAACAGTTTTCTGACATAACCTTATACCCTGTCTATAACACAAAAGTAAGGCCCCTACATCTATACTATTAAACATATTTGTTTCAATTTTCATAAGATTATTTTAGTACATGTTTACTACATTTCTGAATGAAATAACTAATAACAGTACCACCTGGTACCACCTTTATTATCAAGGTATAAAAATTACAACAGAAAATTCTTCCATGCAATAACAATATGATATATTCCAGGCATTTATTATAAGTTTTTAGTAAAAAAGCAATTCTGTTTGAAATAACCTAAAAGCAGATATATGTTTTTATTATTCTTACTAACCTTTTGAGGCATTTTACCAAGAACATGTTCTAGTTCCAAGTCTACAGGGTATCTTCTGTGGTCCCCACTTGCATTTGTAAAACACTCTCCATTGGCTGTCCCATTTATCACATGACCATTTGCTAAATCACCATTGGTTGCCCCATTCATCACATGACCATTTGCTATATCACCATTGGTTGTTTTGTCAGAATCATGACCATTTGCCAAAATATCATTGGCTGATTTTTCAGTCACATGACCATCATCAACTTTTTCATTGGCTGTACAGCTGTCATCACTGTTCACATCAGCAACTTTACCATCATCCAATTTCTGTTTCTTTGCAGCATTACCTATAACATCTGAAGCTTTTTCTTTTCCCTTTCTATTAAAATCTTCTAAACAGATCTGAAATATCAATTAATGTATTTTAAAAGGAGCTTTATACAACTCTCCAATTACACGATATTAAGACAAGTAATTTTGGCTCTGATCGTCCTTTTCATACATGCTGAGTAGGTTGCTCAAGGATGTCTTTATTTTCATTGGCTGGTTAAAATTATCATTATCACTGAGAAGTTTATTATATCATACATGTATGATATCAAATGTTTATTGAAAATATGTATACCAAACATATTTTCTAAAGTACCTTAAACAAAGATATATTGTTGCAATATAAACATATAACATAACAATTAAGTAACACTTAAATGATAATCTTCATTCAAAAATAGCTTATTATAAAAATGTCTAAATGTTACACTTTTTTAAGTAACTTAACAGATTTATAACAGTGTTGTATTGAATTGGTAAAATATATTGTTTATTACCTTTCCATCCCCTGTAACTGTTCCAACAAATGAAACAGGACAGCGTTCCCTCTGCCCAACTTTCTCCAATACTTGCATGTGCTCTCTGGCCAGCAGTATAGCATTGGTCTCCTGATACTCGGCCCCCCACAGCTCGAGGATACTGATGGTTGGATCTCCTAGCTGGAAGTCAGAAGCTCGTATAACAGCACCTGCTGGCTCTACTATCTCTTTTAACACATTACCTGGATATTTACAATAAATATGTCCGGATCATGAGAATTTTAACAGGGTTGAAATCAGGGCTGTGTTTCATAGGAAGTCCTTAGTCTAAAATCAGTCCTAAGACCAAAAAAGAGACAATTTTGGGTTGCAAAGAAATGTCTTAAATGATGATTACTATTTTAAGACTTTTTATTTAATAATACAATACAAATAAAGGGTCTGTCATTTTATTATTTAACTTTTCTCAGGAAAGTGAATTTAATTATAGTCTACAGTCTTTCACTGAAGGTAAAAACGTTTATTGAAACGGTCTTAAGTTAATCCTAAAGTTTTTTCCATGTCCTAGGACTTAAGATACACAGAAGACTTTCTATGAAATGCAGCCCTTATAAAAAGATTATGATGATAACAATTTACAGCCTTGCAATTTACCTGAATAATAACTAATAACCTGGATATAAGCATTGGTAATACTTTAACCCTCTGCCTACAGGTGGCAACTGAATTACCTATTTGACTAGAGCAGACCATGATAGGGAATCTATGAAATCTGATCAGTCTGCTTTGTTCACTTTTGATTCAGTTACATTTTAAATATTTCCCTTAAAATGAACCAGACTGAAAGATGGATAAGTCCATTTAAGATATGTAGGGTTAATTTCATATGCATTAAACACAGTATTATAACTAACGCAGAATGCCAGAAGAGATTATTTCATTAATATCATTTGATTAAGGAACAATCATTCAATCTAAACTCAGAGCTATTATTGTTTAAAATTTAAACAAGAGGGCCATGATGGCCCTGAGTTGCTCACCAGAAACAACTGCTTTTCAGTGTTGGAAATTATCCATTGTCAATATTTTCTAATATTAAACTTGAGCATAGAATATGTTTAAACAATAATTTGAAGAAATGCCATGACCTGGGGCATTAAAGCTTTAGCTTAAACGGGTCAATCAAATTAATATGAGCAAACTTGATAAAAGACTACCTAAGAATGCTACAAAGTTTGGTGATCATCCATCAATTAGTTCTGTAGAAATAGACGTTTAAAGGTATTTCTATTTTTAGCTTTAGCGGCCCCAAAAGGGGCATATCAAATTAATCAGAGCAAACTTGATACAAGACTACATAAGAATGCTACAGACAAAGTTTGGTGATCATCCATCAATTAGTTCTGTAGAAGAAGATGTCAAAATTTGAATATAAAAGCAACAAAACTTTATTAAAAACTTGCCACTATAACCTACCATTTCCGCCAGCCCCTTGATCATGTATACTAGCTATAGGATTGTCATTTCCCATCTCCACACACGCTCTGATTAACCTGTTCAGTTTTTGTTCCATTTCAGCATCACCACGCTGGACGGCCCCAAAATCCAACTCCGATTTATTGTCACCTTGAACTTGTACAGAAGAGGCTGCCCCACCTCCTACACCAATACGATACACTGGGCCACCAACTTTCGCAACTTCCATACCTAACAGAAAAGTAAACAAACAGTTATGATTATTTACTTGTCATAATCTTGTTATGTTAAATCACATAAAATGTTACAGAATTCAAGGTATAAAATTTCAGATGTGCAAAACAGCTACTGGGAAATGTATATCCTAAAATCTTTCATTCATAGAAAACATGAAATACAAGTTCTAACATTCCTTGTAATTCTGTCATTTTACACAAAGAAGAAAAAAAAACATTGATAAACTGCCAATAATTACAGGTAAGGAACTACATAACTACACAAGTATATGTGGCTGTTCTTTTTTTATACATGTTCTCTCTCCGATAACAGGGATAAACAAAGCCTTTAAAGGAGACATCTAAAATTTTGTACCAGTATTACCTGGTTTCACTTCAAACAGTTGACAACTTCTCCACATCAATTATTTGAAACAATGGTCAAATAAAAGATCTATCCAAATATCACAAAAAAAAACCTCACAACAAAACAACACATGGACTTGAAGATGCAAATACAAAATTTGTAAACCAAATGCACTTGTTATATAGCTTAAAACATCATTGGCCTGCAAAATCATTTGATATTAATTCCTTATTTTCTAAAAGAATTATGAAAATATATGTCATGGTTAAAATTTTAAAAAAAGGTCTGTTGTTGGAACTTGTGAACAGACAATATGCTCTTGAAGCGAAATTAAGGAAAAGAACTTTTTTCTTTAAAGTGAAGTGTGACCTTGACCTCTGACTTACAAGCCTTAGTTTTACATAAAGCACATCAGCTCAATGTGTCAAACATTATGATTATTTCAAAATCGATCATTGGATGACTAAGTCATGGATCATACACATGCATTTTCCACAATTATATGACTTTTGATGTACAGGTGTGACCTTGACCTTAGTTAAGCCATGATTTTATGCATGTGCTATTTCATCATAAGGAATAATACAAACATATTCCTTTCAAAAATGCATTTTAAAATTATTTTTCAACAAAATTCAAACATAAGTTTTGTAAACTGCACTCAGTAGAGATATAACCTTATACACTTTAAGTTACCAGTAAAAGTCTTAAGTTACTTCAAAGACTTTTGTCAAAATTCATGCTAGAGTTAAGGGCCTTGGACAGTGACCTATTATGATTTTAAAAATGTGTGTGAAGTTACAAGGAAATTTCTTTAGCGTTTGCAGAGATTTGATGCTGTAAGGAAAACTTTAACCAGAGTTACACTGACGCCAGGTGATTAAGATAGACCAACTATTCTACAAATAGTTGAGCTTAAAACAATATGCTTACCTTCAGGAGCATACAAAATGAATTGATTAAATTGTGTATGACCACAATGATGTAAGAAGTTTGAAAGTCAATCCTTGTAAAATGAGTGAGCCTGGAGAAAAGGATGAGCTCCTTGGCCAGGTTATAAACCCACAATTTTATATAACTTTAATATTAAAATAATCCTTTACTTTTGAAGAATATGACAAAGATCCGTTGGTAATTTTGTAACTGCTAATTTCTGACTTTGACATCATTGTCTTATTAACACATGAAGAATATACGTACATAACAATACACACTTCACAGTTTGGGATGAGCTCCTTGGCCAGGTTATAAACTCACAGTTTTTATAACTTCAATATTAAAATAATTCTTACTTTTGATAAATATTACAACCTTCCGTTGGTAAATTGTAACTGCTAATTTCTGACTTTGACATCATCATCTTATTAACACATGGAGAATTTACGTACATATCATCTATACACACTTCATACTTTTACGCAATCCTTAACCTCAAATGATGTCTTTCAAAGGTCATATATTATAGAGGGTCATTCAATATAAAATGTCATCTGATTAATGATTTCACAACTAAATAATCTAGGGTTGCTACTTCCCTTCATTCCTTCAAATTAATATCCCTTGTGATCAGGCTTCTAACCAACTCTTTGGAAGGTTATCCATGCCTGTTGCTAGGCAACTATTCTCAAGAACCCTCACCCTTGTGGCCACGGAAAATTCAAGTTCCTATAAATTGTTATAACAAATACCCATTAAGTCCTTCTTCAGTTTGGAAAAAAGGTCAAAGTCACAGGGACTTAAGTCTGTGGAATAAAGGGAATGGCCCAGGATTTCCCTCTCTTAACGCTCTTGCAGTAACATCACATTGAATGCTGATCAGGAGCGTTTGTAAGACAAGGGACATTATTTTGAAAGCCATATTTTGTCTGTGTTTTAGTTCTAATTCTATTTAATAGTCATTTAATATATAATGCAACTCATAATATCCCCATTCAAAATTGTCATTGTCATGTAGATACTCCAATTAAAATGCAGCTAGCCCATAACATCACATGACATCATGTTAAAGATCCTGTATGTTGTAATTAAGATTGGTACTACACTTAAGTGAAATTTTATATATGTATATAATTATGCTTCTACATCAATTTGCACACATCGAAGAATATGTAAAATATGTACTGCAGATATTTGTGCACATTATATGTAATCATTTATATCTATGCATTCATTTGTTATTGAAAAATTGACTAAGACTATAGAAAATAAAATTCTAATTACCTCCTTTAATTAACATGAAATGTTAATTCGGTAATTTCTTTTCAAATAATGCTTTTTCGAATTTACAATATTGATAAATCTTCATTTGAGCGTTATATTTATGATTTTAAACCATAAAAAATTGAGTCGATATCTTTCAGAGTTTCAATAATTAAAGTTTTTGCACCACCACAACAACTACAACAAGAGCTTCGCTGAGGCCAGGCAGCATACCAACTATGCATGTTAAATATGGCACAGATATTTTTCTATCAAAATTAAAAAAATAAAGTCTAATTTTTAAGGTAACAAGCTAGAATAGTAATATTATAACTTAATTGAACTAACTTGAATTTTATTTTGATTGAAAATAATCAATTAAATCAACTTTGCAATTAGATGATTGCAGAGCATATCAAACATGATCTCTGTTTTGCAGTCATTATTATATGCTTGCATGCCAAATATATTACAATCACTGAAATCCCTGAAGTTTTTATGAAGAAACCAATAATTTCACAGAAAATTTGCTTTAAAAGAGGCATAACTCTATTAATAATAAGTTGATTGCAATGAAAATTGAACTTACTTCATTCTTTGGACTGCAGTAATATTTTAGACATGTTTGAGATTCCCAATATTTTTTACCTTTCACTGGAATTTGCTTGTTAACATGTGAGCCTTCCAGCTGACCTATTCCCCCACTAAACATGATGGGTTTTATATACTCTCTTCTATCACCTGGCACCACCTCCATACCAAATGATCGTGCAAACCCTGCAAGGACCGGCTCTCCGAACTTGTTACCGTAGTCTGATGCCCCATTACTTGCTTCAATAGCTATCTCTAATGGTGATGCAAAGTTGGTCGGGTATTCAAAAGAACTGTCTTCCCAGGGTTGAGCATAGCCTGAAAATATATAGTGCTGTAGCAAGTAACATTCTATAAATAAATCCCCTTTATCAGCAATGATATTGATCATTGTATCCAGATGTTTATAACTCATTGACAGTTTTCATCATCTAATACCCACGGCAAACCATTAAAATTTATCAAATGCTACAAAAAATAATGGAATATTGATTAAATTAAACTATAATAATGGAAACACGATGTTGAGATTGAGATTGAGAAATGTTCTATTCTGTTTGATACTCCAAAATATGAAAAGCATAATGCTACTCTATAATGCTTATCTTGACAAACAAATAACATATATTATATACAGTCAACATTGTATGTGTACATGCATTAAGAGACCACTCAATGAACTGTCAAAATGTAGTTTTTTAATACAAATAAGGTGAATTTTGAATGAAAACGATCTTTTATGTTGTATGTTTATGTATGTATACATTGTATTACACAGTTCATGTCATTTATATAACAAAAGTGTCTGGGAGATTGAATGTTTGCTGAATATCAGAAATTTGTTGGTTTACTGTCAGTTTATGTGTGGATGCCATACTTTGATAAATATTATCAAAAGAAATCAAGATGTTTACTTATTTGTTTATTGTATGCAAACAAAATGTCCACATGAAAAGGAAACATTTATTCATGATAAACACCACTAAATAGAATGTACTTACATTGAGTATTAGCAAGAAAACATTTATTCATGGTTGCTTAATAGATTCTTAAGCAAGTTATCTATCATCTTTTGGAAGTGATTTTCTGTGGCTACTAACCACATGACAAGTCACCTAATAGAATGTATTTACTTGACTATTTGCATAGTGCCTGTAAGTTATTACTAGATCAATATGGCACGAAAAGTCCTGATTCCATTACATATATCTTACCTTAAATGGTCAAAAGGATCGGGCAGATTTTTTTAATGGTGCTTTAAAACACTAGGACACAAATGTACTAAATTATGATCTTTGACCTTTGAACTTCAGACCTGGGCCCTGCATGTGACCCATCACCTTCTTATGTATGGTAGACTTTTGTACTTACAAATTTTGAAACACTTCATGCAACACTAAATCTTCTCTTACTGTAGAATGTTATTGGCTCGTAGGATGGTATCATTTTAATATATATCTAAATGAAGACATCACACCTTTCCTTTCACAACTGCTATATTTTAAGATACATCCACGTAATTCACAAAACAAACAACCAAGTGTGAAATTCTATCCCTGAAAGGAATCAGCGTTAAAGTCGCCTTTACCGCTGTTGTTTCAGATCCTACCAGGAACTTTAGATTCTTTCATGTGAGGAAGCTGTCTTGCAAGCTTACGGAACATCAGTGGTACTAATCAGGTGCCCGTTTGTGCCATAAATAATGCATGGAAGGGCACCTGAGGTCTTCCTACACCAGTAAAGCTTGAAAGTCATCACATGACGTATACTGTGTAGGTGTGACGTATAGCCACATATCACCAGAAAAAAAAAACAATCTTGAGTGAGAATTCTATAACAAGTTTATCTATATCCCAATATTTATACAAACTTGTTCAACAGGATAAACTCAGTTTTACCAGACTATGAACAGTATTGGTGTGATGTAAAACACAACCAACAAAAAATAAATCCCCCTCCACCCAGACTATGAAACGGTATTCTTCAAGTTTATGTTCCTTAGTTCTTGCAGTCTCTGAGCGTTTGAGCCAGTTTGAAAGAATAAACTTGAGAAAAAACTATTAATGCTTATCACAAAAAATATCTTATATGGACTTGTCAATCTTTTCATCTGGACAAAACCATCAAATAATTTTTTGGGATAAAAAAAGTATGTATTGTCACATGAGTAGATTCAGTTTCCTCTTGCAGACTTATAGTAAAGGATGCTGTACAACAAGTAAGATTATGCATAGATTAGTCAGGTCATGACAAGATGTTTGTCACAGATTATTTAGATGATTAAACTATACAGATCCAAATGCAGTTCATGAGAGTAAACCATCAAAAGGCTAATCATTTCTTAGCAGAAAAAATTCTGAAAAAAAAAGGGAATGTTCAACAATATTAAATGTTTTAATTTTCAGACCAGTGTTTCTTATAATGATAATTGTGAACGTCACTGATGACGCTCAGTGCTTAAGCCATAAACTACTCCTTAAAATTCACACTTAACATTTCCTCTTTTAACTCAAAAGGATAGACGCTGCACTTTCCAGAAACAGATTAATATTTAACATTTACCCATCCTGTTAGTATATTGTACAGGGTGGTAATATTTAAACACTGTCATAGAAAGTTATGACGAAGGTAATAATAGAAATACTTTTATTAACAAACTTGGGATGTATGGTGAATGTTGGAATGTTCACATAACAACAATCGCTGTAAAAACAAGCATAAAATATTTGAAATGTTTTTCCAAGCTAAATCATTAAAATGATACAAATCACTTGATTGACATTTCTGAGCATTATGAACTTCAGTCTTATTACGATACACTGAAAGTTGAGAAAACTTGATGCTGAGAAAATCCTAATTCTCAAAATACTGAACACTGTAATTGGTCCTAGATATTTCCTTCATGCTCCATTGAAAAATACTTGAATCTGTAAAAACCAAATATTGGACAGATGATGTGGTCTGATTATGCCTATGATATATAGATAATTACTCTGACAATACTGGACGATGGTGGCGGTGTTGGTAGTGACAGTAAGCCACACTGTATTTACTAGAGCACAGTTCCGCCACCCCATCATTCCTTGGCAGGCTGTTAGCAGTTTACCAGTACTAGTTGGGTTCACTTTCGCAAGGAACTGTTACTTCTGTACATGCTACAGCAGAGGTAGAGTGTGAATGACCGTAGAAAGGATTTCATAATAATTACAATGGAAGTGACCTGCATCGTCTGGGAATCAACCCAGGTCACCCAATTCACAGTCCAACGCTATTGAGCTAACAGGACAGCAATGAAATTGTTTAACTCACCTAGATATTCAAAACCAACTTTAAATAATAGAAATTCCTAAACTACCTGGACTATAGAATTTTCCTCACTCTTGAAAACTGAAATTACCTGACCCACTTAAATCATGGAGATTTGTGAGATTGTATATACATTCAGTGATTTTTTTCACTGCATTTTACAGCCGAATAAAGGCTGTTTCCTCTAGCCCAAAATAGGTAAAATTTCCCCTAAAAATGCCAATATTTTCCCCTAAAATGCATCGTGCTCTTTCTGACCAGAATTATGACTTAACAGCATCTGACTATAATATCAGCTAGAAAACAGAAATCTGTCCCTATAGATAGCCTCTGCTATAAACCTTGCATGTTAAATTGAATTGAAAGCAAAATTTTATATAAAATGTGTGGGTAAATTACATTTTCAGTTGTTGGAATTTGATTTCTGGTTTTCACCCTTTCGAAAGCCATAGGTTGTTTTGAAAATTGGAAAAAAAATCCCTGCCATTCTGATGATTTTTTCTTATGAACTTCTTGAAATCTGGAATAATTTTTCTGAAATATTGAGATTTTCTACAATACTTGGAATAAGATTTTATAAAATTCCTGGAATAACGAGATTTTATAACATACCTGAAATAATAAGATTTTACAACATACCTGGAATATTAAGATTTCCAAAACAGTACCCTGCAGTTCCTGCCACAACATGTGCTCCTCTCCCTGTACAATGTACATCTCTGATTCTACCCCCTGTCCCTGTTGTTGCCCCTGGAAACGGGGCTACCCCTATAACGAATATTTCAAGAAAGACTATTACCAAGCATATACCATGACTTTCTGAATACGAATCAGAAAACAATGTGTGTAAGATTGCAGAAAAATAATACAGAAATATCAAATTACTGACCTTCAGTAAATGTACAATTTCATTCAGCAATGCCAGTTTTAGAAGCTTTTCTCTCTATGTACCATTATTACTGATTTAATTTAGTATTTAGTGTTTTTTTTAAATATCATGAACTTTTGTAAGCATGAGTGGGTACGCTGAGTAGAACCAATAACCTTCTGGCACTGGAAATCCGAGTAAATCCACAAATCTTCTGAAATGGGTATCCCGTGTAGAACCACTAACCTCCTCAAGTCAGTACCCTGAGCAGAACAACCAACCTTCTAGAGTGGCTACCCTGCATAGAACCACCAGCCTCCTGGATTGGGTACGATGCGTAGAACCACCAACCACCTGTTAGTTTCTTGGGTTGCTGTATAAAACTTACTGTTCATAAAAATACAAACCGGTTGGAAAATTGTGAGTTTCAGCAGTAAAGATGATATGTCTCTTTTCTTTATTCATCTCTATCATTTTACTTGGAGCTGCCGGATCTGAAGGTTTAAACACCATCACATCATAGCCTTGTATACCACTGAAACAACAAATCTAAACTTTAACATCATAGCCTTGTATACCACTGAAACAACAAATCTTAACTTTAACATCATAGCCTTGTATAGCACTGAAACAACAAATATTAACTTTAACATCATAGCCTTGTATACCACTGAAACAACAAATCTAAATTTTAACATCATAGCCTTGTATAGCACTGAAACCACAAATCTTAACTTTAACATCATAGCCTTGTATAGCACTGAAACCACAAATCTTAACTTTAACATCATAGCCTTGTATACCACTGAAACAACAAATCTAAACTTTAACATCATAGCCTTGTATACCACTGAAACAACAAATCTAAACTTTAACATCATAGCCTTGTATACCACTGAAACAACAAATCTAAACTTTAACATCATAGCCTTGTATACCACTGAAACAACAAATCTAAACTTTAACATCATAGCCTTGTATACCACTGAAACCACAAATCTTAACTTTAACATCATAGCTTTGTATACCACTGAAACACCAAATCTAAACTTTAACATCATAGCCTTGTATACCACTCAAACAACAAATCTAAACTTTAACATCATAGCCTTGTATACCACTCAAACAACAAATCTAAACTATCTACTTCATATACTCTCATTCTATTCAAAAACTAAACTGAAAGTTCCATTTGATCTAAAAATTACACAGAACATGTGGAATATTTATAAAATTATATTTTTCAATGTGCATAAAATTTTTAATTTATAATTTCTTTTTTAAAGGTTGTGGTTTTGTTCGTTTTTATATGGGGTTTTCTCCATTCACTGAGGAGAAACAATTTGTGCCTTTGGGATCACTTTTGTCTTTATTTAAAAGTAAAAAAAGAACACAAGATATTAAACAAGAGCCACCGCCGGGCGGGGGCAACGCTCGACTTTTTACTTTTTCTAAACGCAAACATAGAAAGGTTTGAACATATAATGATGTTTCCTTTTTACAAATTTAGTTGGTCTGTCTTGTCACATTAGTTTTGTTTATATATTTTGTATATATATGAATAGAAACATTAAGCATATTTCTAAAAATAGCAACAGTACGCAATTTCTAAAAATAGCAACAATGACGCAATTTCTAAAAATAGAAAAAATGACGCAATTTCTAAAAATAGAAAAAATGACGCAATTTCTAAAAATAGAAAAAAATGACGCAATTTCTAAAAATAAAAACAATGACGCAATTTCTAAAAATAGAAGAAAAAAAATGACACAATTTCTAAAAATAGAAACAATGACGCAATTTCTAAAAATAGAAAAAAATGACGCAATTTCTAAAAATAGCAACAATGACGCAATTTCTAAAAATAGAAAAAAATGACGCAATTTCTAAAAATAGAAAAAATGACGCAATTACTAAAAATAGCAACAATGACGCAATTTCTAAAAATAGAAAAAATGACGCAATTTCTAAAAATAGAACAAAAATGACGCAATTTCTAAAAATAGCAACAATGACACAATTTCTAAAAATAGAAAAAATGACGCAATTTCTAAAAATAGGAAAAAATGACGCAAATTCTAAAAATAGCAACAATGACGCAATTTCTAAAAATAGAAAAACATGACGCAATTTCTAAAAATAGAAAAAATGACGCAATTTCTAAAAATAGAAAAACATGACGCAATTTCTAAAAATAGAAAAAAATGACGCAATTTCTAAAAATAGAAAAACATGACGCAATTTCTAAAAATAGAAAAAAATGACGCAATTTCTAAAAATAGAAAAACATGACGCAATTTCTAAAAATAGAAACAATGACGCAATTTCTAAAAATAGAACAAAAATGACGAAATTTCTAAAAATAGAAAAAAATGACGCAATTTCTAAAAATAGCAACAATGACGCAATTTCTAAAAATAGAAAAAAAAATGAAGCAAATTCTAAAAATAGCAACAATGACGCAATTTCTAAAAATAGAAAAAATGACGCAATTTCTAAAAATAGAAAAACATGACGCAATTATATATATGTATATATATATATATATATATCTATATATGTATATATATATATATATATATATATATACATGCATATATATATATATATATATATATATATATTTATATATATATATATATACCTGCATATATGTATATATATACACACACACATTTATATATATATATTTATATATAATACATATACTATACATACACACACACCAATAAATGCACAATCTGAGAAAATTCAGTAATATAACCTTCAAGGTCAAGGTCATTAAAGAGCCCAAGCAAATTTGGGTTTGATAAACAACAAGGTCTGGTCCTTAAGAATGTTCTGTTATAATATGAAGTTTATCCCTTCAAAAATAGCAAAGTTACAGTCAGTTACTGCCAAAACAATGAAAATTTCAATAATTTGACCTTCAAAGGCAATGTCATTAATGAGTGAAGGTCAAGGTCTTTCGGTATATTTTTAACAGTTATCTTTGAAGATTATTATGTTCAAGTTTGAAGACAATCCATTCAAAAATAACAAAGTTACAGCCAATAATAGCCAAAAAAATGAAAATTTCAATAATTTGACCTTCAAAGTCAAGGTCATTGATGAGTGAATGTCAAGGTCTGACTGGTTATTTTTAAGGGATATCCTTGAAGATTATTATGTTCAAGTTTGAAGACAATCCATTCAAAAATAACAAAGTAACAGCTAATAACAGCATGAACAAGCAAAAATTGGACTTTTAACCTTGAAGGTCAAGGTCATTTATGGATGAAGGTCAAGGTTAGTGTGGTCTACTGAAAGGTCTTGTCCCAAGGGTTGTTGTGGCCAAGTATGAAGACAATACACCAAGAAATAAAAAAGTTATGATCCAGGTACAAGTTTTCGGACGGCAACGGCAACGGAGACGGCAACGGCAACGGCAACGCCGACCTGACTATAACAATACCTCTACTTTTTTTTTTCAAAAAAAAAAAAGTCGAGCTAAAAAATGTCTGTAAAACAGTTCACATCATCAAAACAAAATATTTATACAATTAGTTCTGTTGTCACTCTTTATAAAACTCTTATAACATGTGAAAGTTTCTTTGTAAAAGCTGATTAAAATAAATCATTTTAATATTTTAAATTACCTCCCTTTTGGCATTTTCAATTTAAAACTTCAACCAGTTTACAACAAGCTCCTGTCTACAGATATAAATGTCATCCAGCAGCTAGGTTAATATTGGCTTGAGCGGATGAGGCGTGTTGAAACATTATACAAATATCTACTTATCTGACTATCAGGGACCATTAACTCAGTTATTGTAATCAAATACATTTTTCAAGTAAATGACAGCAATCAGTAATCAGGGCTCTTTTTAATTACATGTAATTATTATTTTACAAGCCTAAATTTTGATGTTCTTACTGATAATATTTCTATTACTTTTAATGACTATTAATGTATTTATAAGAATAGTTGATATTCTAACTGTAAATGGCTAGTCCTTCTGTTTGACATTAGAAAAAGCATTTTTCTTTGCAAAAAAAAAAAACAAAAACAAATAAAACACTTTTACTTTAAATAATATTCTCTCATAAATGAAACAAGCAAATTCGTTGAATTTATATCCCCCGCCGAGTACTGGTTATTACTAACACAACAACTGAAGACATAAGGCTTTATTTATATATTTATCATGGCATAAACAGTAATATTCTTTGAACTTGATAAATATTCAGGGCAATAACAGAGCCATAACTCTGTGTTAAATAGTAATATCTGGAAATGCCAATGAGATGTATGCATACTGCATAACTAATCAAGGGCCATAAATCTGAGTTATATGTGTCTGACTGGAACAAGGCGACTATATGCACATCTCCTCTTCGTATCCCATAAAGTTTCATTGAATTCCAGCCAGTAGTTACAGAGAAGTAGCACGGAAACGATTATTGCTCTGGTTGTATACTGCATAAGTTATCAAGGGCCATAACTCAAAGTTAAAATGTCTGACCCAAACAAGGCGACGATATGCGCATCTCCTCTTGGTATTGAAGGTTCCAATAAAGTTTCATTGAATTCCAGCCAGTAGTTGCAGAGAAGGCGCAGAAACAAATATTTTTCTATATGCATACTGCATAACTAATCAAGGGCCATAACTCTGAGTTAAAATGTCTGACCCCAACAAGGCAATGATATGCGCATCTTCTCTTGGTATTTAAAAGGTTCCCATAAAGTTTCGTTGAATTCCAGCCAGTAGTTGCAGAGAAGTAGCGCGGAAACGATTTTTACTCTATATGCATACGTCATAACTAATCAAGGGCCAGAACTCTGAGTTAAAGTGTCTGACTGGAACAAGGCGACGATATGCGCATCTCCCCTTGGTATTAGAGGTTCCCATAAAGTTTCGTTGAATTCCAGCCAGTAGTTGCAGAGAAGTAGCGCGGAAACAATTTTTGCTCTATATGCATACTGCATAACTAATTAAGGGCCATAACTCTGAGTTAAAGTGTCGGACCGGAACAAGCCGACGATATGCGCATCTCCTCTTGATATTGATGATTCCCATAAAGTTTCGTTGAATTCCAGCAAGTAGTTGCAGAGAACTACTCCGGAAACGAAATTCGGACGGACGGAAGGACGGACAACGCCAAAACTATATCCCCCTCGGACGGACAACGCCAAAACTATATCCTCCTCCCGATTCCATCGGCGGGGGATAATAAATTGTAATTCTTAGCAATTTTACTGACAGAACAATACTACATGTATCAACATACACATATCCCATATATAAATGTGTCAATCATATCAACTTAAAATTATTATTGCTAGTTTTTGTTAGTAACAAGCATGTGTTCACACATAACTGATTCAACTATATCAATAGTCTTCCTTTAAATTTATAACAAAAGGAGTGTTAGATTATCAAACAAACTGTTATATCCTGAAGAATTTAGATCAGTTGATTATATTTTGGAGGTGAGTTTAAGTATAGTTGTGGTACTGTACACTACATTTCTTGCAAAGACACAGGGATCATACACAAAGCTGAAATGTGAAAGGCTTATTTTAGACAAATGCTGGCACCTGAGTAGAAGCACCGGACATTTGTTAGCTAGCTGGAATGCTTCCGCACATGAAAAAATCGAAATCTCAAATAGGATTTGAACCAAAGGCTATGAGAGGTAAGAGATTCAATGTCAGTGACAGTAATCACTCTGGTTACTGTCTCACAGATGCCTTACAGTATTAACTTTATTGTAATAGATATGTAATCAGGACATAAATTAGGGTTGCAGTTCAAATTAGAAATGTGTCCATAGGACACAGGGTGCCCCCACCGCGCCACTGTTCTGTCAATCTTATGACTCTAGGTCAAATATTTTTTGAAAACTAAAAATCTTTTACTAAAGTACAGGGCAAGAACTTTACAAATACTGAATAAATCCACAAGCAAACCCCAAGGTGCATAAGTACACATGCTGACCAACATTTTTGAAAACTTTCAGGCCTACAAGTGAAATACTTTTTGAGCTATGCGTGAACAAGTTGAAAATTGCAAATTTATTCTACTGTAAGTCAAGGGCAAAAACAATAAAATTGAAAAAAATCCACATGCAAAATCCCAGGTGCATAGCTTCACAGTGATGTGAATCATTATTCCTGTATTTTAGTGATGTTGATCATTATTCCTGTAAAGTTGGTTGATTCTAACTCAAGCACTCAAGGAACAAATAACAACATAATGAAACAGTTTTTACTAAGTCAAGGGAAATAACTCTACAAATACTGGATAAATCCACAAGCGAAACCCCAGGTGCAAAACTAAATATGCTGAGCAACCTTCCCGTAAGGTTTAATGACTCTATGTCAAATCCTTTTTGAGTTACATGCGACACAAGTTGAAAATTGCAAAAAATTTCTAAGTCAAGGGCAATAACTCTAAAAATACTAAATAAATCCAGACGATAATACCCAGGTGCACAACTACACATGCTGATCAATATTCCTGTAAAGTTTCATGACTCTAGGTCAAATCCTTTTTGAGTTACATGCGACACAAGTTGAAAATTGCAAAATTTTACTAAGTCAAGGGCAATAACTCTAAAAATACTAAAAATATCCAGACGAAAATACCCAGGTGCACAACTACACATGCTGATCAACATTCCTGTAAAGTTTCATGACTCTAGGTCAAATACTTTTTGAGTTACATGCGACACAAGTTGAAAATTGCAAAATTTTACTAAGTCAAGGGCAATTACTCTAAAAATACTAAAAATATCCAAAGGATAATACCCAGGTGCACAACTACACATGTTGTTCAACATTCCTGTAAAGTTTCATGACTCTAGGTCAAATACTTTTTGAGTTACATGCGACACAAGTTGAAAATTGCAAAATTTTACTAAGTCAAGGGCAATAACTCTAAAAATATTAAAAATATCCAAACGAAAATACCCAGGTGCACAACTACACATGCTGATCAACATTCCTGTAAAGTTTCATGACTCTAGGTCAAATACTTTTTGAGTTACATGCGACACAAAAGTGAACGGAAGGAAGGACGGACAGACAAGGGTAAATCTAAATGCCCGCCACTAAAATGGGGGCAAAATAAAGACACACAAGACACAGCAAATAAAGTATGTTTCTAATAATTAAAAGAAATCAGAATTTGTGTGCCTATTCAAGATAATTTGATCAATATAAACCTATCAATTTTATAGACACAGATTTGTAGTTTTATGCATTTTGGTCATTTTATTTTTAATATTGTTATGTCATGATTTAGCATCAGATATTGGAATGCTTCAATAAGCTCGTTACTGAATATATTATTTTAAATTTCTTGTACTGCTACCAGTTATAAGACTGTATAATGATGTGTATATTGCTGAAATGAGCTGGTTGCCAATTAATATCAACTAAAATATTACTGTAATATTTTTAAAAATCTAAATTTTACAATTTAAAAAAAAACCAAACTGTATTACCATTTCAGAGAAAGAATAAAGAAGACCCAGTACCTGCTATTGTCGTTGAACTTGATGACATTATTACCATTACTATGATCCTGTGTTGCCATGATCATCTTAAACAGGGAACCATCCTCTTCTATATCATCAATTATCAACTTCCCACGGAAAAACCAGTGACGACTGTGCTCACTATAATAATTAAAACTTTAACAACTTACTTGATAACTTTCGTAAAAGACCATCCTTATTGTTAAGGAAGGCTTCGAGTAACTGATTAACAGAGTACTCGATAAAACGTTCAAATATCTGTCAACAAATTTTATACTCCAATACTAGTTATGTAAAAATATCACTTCACTTTTCCGTTGTATATAATATAAACAAAAGGAAATAATGTCCGAAATTCTGAGATATATGTCCACAATAGAAATAATTTAACTTGCTTAAAGAAAACATATCATCTGTGTAGAGGTGTGAATATTTTAATGCAAGTTGAAAGTTGTTTACATCTTTAAGTCAACAGTTTGACAGGGGAGGTGAAAGTCATTAAAGCTACATTTAATAAATTTCATAAAAAACTAAACAGCGCCATTTCATTAATAAATTGGGTTTTATATCGACTCCAGGTCTTATTTTGGTGTCCAGACAACCAAAATGAGTTTTATTAGCATACAAATGGGTAACCTCATTTTGGCGAAATGGGCAGTGCAATTTCTGTTTGCATGAGAAAAACTCTGCCTTCGGATAATCCGTACATCAATATCAAATCAACAATCATGACTATAAGTAGCAGTCCTAATTTAACGGTATATTTCCGCATTGTAATGAATGTTTTCATACAAATTTAATCTTTTTACGAGATGATTACTTTCACTGAACCCCAGGCTTAGTGCACCGTGAAGCTAAAACGGTTAAAGTGTGTTTGCACAAGAAAATATCATATTTGCTGTGTTCCGGAAAGCAACTATAAAAGTGTGACGTAGCGCATACACAAGCTGATTATAGTCTTCAATTGCATGTTAAAATTCGTATACGAATTTAGTGTTACGGTGGGGTTGTCCGTTTAAAATCCTAATTTATGAAAAATATTTGATGAGATTTACAACAATACTGTTAAACAGGTTAATGAAACTCTAGAATGTTTGATCTTGAGGCCGACGGCAAAATATTTTTACATATTTATTTAATGTAGCTTTAAAAAACCTCTTTTTATATAACTTTCGGCCTCTTGAGTACCAAACAGTGTGTTTAAGGTTATTAATTTGTTTATATATATACTGCTTAAATGCTATAATATCACTTTTAATAATATCAGATTTTAGTAATTAAATAGACATAAATCAACACTGATTTTTACTTACAAGGATTTATCATAGAACTTGTCAATTTTGTGTATCAAAATAGAAAACTAAAGTGGATTGCGGCTAATATCATTATTATAAAGTACTGTCAGCCTTATTCTCCTGAATGTTTGTCAGAAATTAAAAATCTTAAATAAAATATTCCAATAGTTGTATCAATCAGAAAAATTACCAAGTTCTCGAGTACTGAAATCCATACATGTTGCCTTCCTTAAGAAATTGTATTTAATAATTCTTTGCATTTAGAAATTCTACGAAAAAAATTAAGTATGGAATAGACAATCACATCTTAGGAGATTAAGAACTACTATAATCATTTGAACAACTAAAATGAAAACAAGCAATTAAAACAAGTAGATTATTAACAGAACTTGGCATGGTATAAATCCTTGTTAAATTTCTTGTTTTCTGTAAAAAATAAAAACCCCATAGTTTAAAGCATATGAAAGGGCTGATTCTCACCTATTAGATTGTGCAAGGTCAAAACATTCTACACTAGTTGGATTCCTCTTGACTTTCTCCTCAAACAGTTTAGTATAGAAATCAAGGTCCCAGTTATCAAAAGCTAGACCTACAACATAGAAATAGGTATCACATCATGAAATACTTTTTTCCTCTTTTCATTACTTTCTTTTCATTTAATATTGACATTTGAGCCGCGTCACGACAAAACCAACATAATGGGTTTGCGACCAGCATGGACCCAGACCAGCCTGCCCATCTGCGCAGTCTGATCAGGATCCATGCTGTTCGCTATCAGTTTCTCTACTTGTAATAGAATTGGTAAGCGAACAGCATGGATCCTGATCAGACTGCGCGGATGCCCAGGCTGGTCTGGATCCATGCTGGTCGCAAACACACTATGTTGGTGTTGTCGTGACGCTGCTCGTTTTTTTTTACCTATTTGTGTCATTGCTTACAAACATGTGGTGCATATTTTGTTGAAACTAAACCAAATTTATCCTTCTTAAACCAATAAATAACAGTCACACAAAGATATTTCAGTATGCCAATAAACAGAACATATTTTAACAAAAATGTCTCTATAGTTTACACCCTATGCCATGCACCCAAGAATGCAAAACATTCTTTATATAGGGACCATATTTCAACAGCATTCTCATCTATCAATTTTGTCTTTGTTAACACAAGAAGGCAATGTTTAGCCAGCAATAGAAAACAGGTAATGAGAACACATTTTAAAGGTTCTAATATCAATGTATAACTTGTATTTTTTTCTTCTTCAATAATCTTGATTTCCTTATAACTGAGAGAGATAACATTCTAGATGCATTTATATTTTAATATTCCTTGTATATTTATTCCAATGATTTAAGAGATTTATGATGCTTACTCCAACTTGAATTTACAAACAGTTTTTGTACTGTAAATTATGAGCTTTAATAAAACATTCTTCCTTTTTAAATTTCACTCAAGAAATACTTAAAAACATTTTTTTCTTTCAGAATATAGAAAACAAAACCCACTATCTTTGAAAATGAGAAGTTTAGTGAGAGGTTAAGACATCTTTTATTAGAAATTTACATGCAAGATGGTCACCTAAATAAGTTGATCAGTTCCAAGTATGAAAACTTTGCTCCGTTTTTGAAACGAAAACAAATCATTTATTTATTTCACACTGGGCTATAATTAAAAGCTATATTTGTGCATTTCAATGTAAGAAAGGTAATGACTGTCATACTTTTCCTGATGTAAGAAATTTTCTTAAAGTATTTAGTAAATAGTGATGCCATGATATATGAATGTTTTTTTTTCTTTCACTTTTTAGTATTTACCTAGGTCTTTGTTTGCTTTTTCTAAAGCAGAACGTCCTTTCCCTATTATATCTACATCATAGACTGGCTCAGAATTGATGTCAAGCTCAAAAGTTTCGACTGGTTTCAAATATCTACACTGTGTCATCTTATCATGCAAACAGTGTACCAGTCTGTCTTCTAGATCATCTGAAGGCTTGTTACCATGGAAACTGATCAGGTATCGTACAGATGATTCAATTCTTGTTACCTTTGATAAACCAACTGATTTACAAATAGACACTGCATTTGTAGACATGGGTGTAGAAAAGTTTAACCTGAAACATATATTAAAAAGTTAACAGATGAATTGAGATGGAAATAAAATGCTGTCAAATCAACTAAACAACAAAACAACACAAACTGTTAAAATGAAGAATAAAAAATCCATAATTTTCGTATTTTAATTAAACGGTGAATTAATAACAAAAACGGGTGTCTTAATTCATACATTATAATTAGATTCTGGACTTAAATTTAAAACAGTATGCCTCCAGATGAGCCAAAATATTTCAAGAAAATCAACCTTCAGAAAAATGTACTAAGATTTTTACAAAAGTAACAAGAGGGCCATGATGGCCCCTGAAATCGCTCACCTGTATATAGGCCCCCAGGGCAGGGCCAATTTTAACCCAGGGGCTTTTATTTGAACAAAGTTGGTAGACACCCATTGAAAATGTTTCATGATAAATATCTAAGCTCTAGCTGTCAGAAGATTTTTTAATTTTTTACTATACACATATAGGGGAAAAACAATGACCCCCCCCCCCCTCTGGGCGGGGCCAATTTTGTCCCCAGGGCTTTTATTTGAACAAACTTTGTAGTCACTCACTAGAAGATAGTTCATGCTTAATATCTAAACTCTAGCTCTTTGGGTTTTTTATAAGAAGATTTTTAAAGTTTTTACTATGTACATATAAGGAAAATCAATAATCCCAGGGGCAGGGCCAATTCTAACCCCAGGGCCATTATTTTAACAAAAATGGTAAACACCCATTAGAAGATGTTTTATGCTAAATATCTTAGCTCTAGCTCTAAAAGAAGATTTTTTAAGGTTTTTACTATATATATAAAGGGAAAAACAACGACCCCCTGGGGCGGAGCCAATTTTGACCCCAGGGCTTTTATTTGAACAAACTTGGTAGACACCTACTAGAAGATGTTTCATGCTTAATATCTAAGCTCTAGCTATTTGGGCTTTTTAAAAGAGATTTTTTAAGTTTTTACTATATACAAATAAGGAAAATTAATGATCCCCGGGGCAGGGCAAATTTTGACCCCAGGGAATTTATTTGAACAAACTTGGTAGACACTGACTAGATGATGTTTCATGCCAAATATATAAGCTCTAAGTCTCTCTGTTTTCTAAAAGAAGATATTTAAAGTTTTTTCTTTTGGTTGCCATGGCAACCAGAGTTCTGCTTGGAATTAAATTCTTTGAACAATTTTTAAAGTTGACTACCAAAGGAACATTCCTGTGAAGTTTGGATAAAATTGGCTTAGCTGTTTATGAGGAGATGTCGTTTAAAGTAAAAGTTTACGGACGCCGGACGAAAAGCGATCACAAAAGCTCACCATGTCACTTTGTGACAGGTGAGCTAAGAATATTCACAATTCAAGAAATTATTAGCATATCATTTGCAATTAATGACTGACTTTACAGTATTTATTACCATATTTCAACTGAGTGACTAACACACCAAATGGCTATCTTTTTTGCATGTTCTAACCTAATTGTGGTGATTTTCGTATTAAAATTTCAAGTGATGTTTGCCATATGTAAATTACTTTCTTTGCTCACTTTAAAATCAATACTTTACTTTTTTTCATACATTTTAAATTTTTTTATGAACATTAGCATCAATCTGGAGTAAATATCTGTCATGAAGGAATGACTAACCTTGGACCTATTTCGATCAGTAATGATGATTCATTGTCTTGTAAAGATGTCTCCTGTGACAACCCCTTCTTTTGAAATGGTGTAGACAGAATCCATTCAAGCTTTTCTCTATTATCTGCTTCTAAACCTGCATTTTAATATTGGCATATAGTAACATTCATTAATGAAAAAACAGCATTACAAAAGGGAATAACTCATACCAATAATGAGTTGATAAAAATAAACTAAACCCTTGTTTTGATGTATACCATAATTGACATAAAGAATATAATTATTAAAATTCTAAGACAACAAAATCACAGAAAAAATTGAAAATAAAGGTGCATAACTCTATCAATAATAAATTGGTTGCAGAGAAAATCAAACTTGTCATTGTTTTGACATCACATACTTGCATGAATGATTAATACTATCAATGAAATGTTTCAAAGTTATCCTGATGAAACCAATAACTTCATGGAAAATTTGCTTTAAATGACCTATAAACTCTATCAACAATATATGAAGATTGCAGCCAAAATAGAATTTAACTCATGTTTTGATAAGACATACTTACATGTCAAATATAAACACAATTACTGATATCTCCTTCAAAAGTTATTCTACAGAAACCAATTGTCGATAAACAGACAGATTTTCTTATGGAGTTGACTTCAAGGGGTTATTCCTTTGATCTTCTTTAATTTGTAAAACCCCATAAGGAACCTATAACGTACCAGTATATCCTATAGACATAGAGTATCAATTTCTGAGGACAGACAATATCATACCATAATATTATCATCTTAGTGCAGTAACAGGATAACTCCTATTGAATTTAATACGAGTTAATCTTTTGCTCCAATAATGTAAAGATATGTCCGGAAGAATTTTTCGGGCTTACAAAAAGATGCCAAATATTCAAAACAGACAAAACGATTCCTGCAGATGCACATGGTTTAACCTGAATCAGTATGTGTTTCAAAAGCGTAGACAACGGTGAGTGAACTGGATGCAGAACAGGCATTCAGACTAGTCTAGCTAAAGTTCTGAAATCTTTATCATCAAAGCTACAAAACTTAGAGTATATTCCTACCTTGAGTAGTTTGGATATAGTAACATAACTCTGTCTGAATTGTGTCTAAATTTTCCACCACCAATCTTATCTTCCTCTCTGCTGCAAGTAAACCCCCTCTGCTTACACCAGGCTGCTTGTAATATCGAAATATCATGACTTTCATTAGCCTATTTTGAACAAAAATACATAAAATATATTTTTTAATATTCTTCTTATCTGAATTCATCTAATATTTTAACAAAGTTGTCAACACAGCCAGCTCACCTTTATAGTAAAACAAGCCCTTTGTTTAAATGTATGCCACATACCAAAAAGGCGACATACACCTTTGAAACTATGGTCTCTAAGTGGTTCTGGCAAGTAGATATCATCAAAGTGTATGCACCTATGAAGCAGGGGTGAGGAAAAATGAATGTTTGCCACTTGCCCACAGACAAGTTGGGCAGAGATTTTATTTGTCTGCAGCTTCACTTTACTTACCGATATAAAAATATAAAACATTAGCAATAAGTTTTTACAAATATTAATGAGCTGTAAAAGTGCCCTTTCATGAATAAGACAGGAAACCAGAAAAATTGTTTCCCAGTGTGATTTAATAAATAAATGTGTAGGTAACATGCTGGCAGAAAATATGTTGAATTCTATACCTATCATTGAAACTTTCAGTATCATTTCTTGTGAGGCGCCGTAACATAATGATAAATGGCGGGGTATTCCTATAATGGAACAATAGCAACTTTTGGACTTGCAAGGTAACAATAAAAGCCGGAGATTTCTGATTGAAAACTGATGCGTAGACTTGTCTCCTGCACACTTCTATGGGAACCATAATTGTACAGGGAACCAGATTAAACAGAAGCAGTGCATAAAATACCGAATGACACTTTTAAAATGGAAAATTATGTAAAATAAAAAATTACGATTCTTGTATCTGAGTCTGACTTCCCAGTTCATAGGTTTTGCCTACTTTCGCATTTTTTAGAAATGTACCCTGAAGTGTCAATGATAGGGCAGGGCGTACATGTTCCCTTACTCATTAACAGTGCCAGGTCTTTTGATACAGAGGATGTCAAAGACTGGGACTGCAAAGCAGGCACGGGCTTTGTCTTGCCCTGCTATAAACTACATGTGTATATTTAAAAGAAATCAAATAAAAAACAACTTAAGAATATATAAAATCCTCTACCTATCAGCGAAATTTTCAGTGTCATTTCTTGTTGAGTGCCGTAGAGCAATGATAAACGGCAGTGTATTCCTATAATAGCGAATCGCAACTTTTCGCAATGTTCATAAGCTATTGCCTTATTTCATATCATGAAATTAGGCAAAGCCTTTGAACGGAGAAGTCTGTTAAAGAAAATTGTTAATTTTTCCGTTTTAAAGGTGTCATTTGGTATTTCATGCACTGCTTCTGGATCTGTTTTTACTCAGAATACTTGACGATTATTACTAATACGAAAAGTTGGGATTGTTTGTTATCGGAAAACCCTGCCTATTATCATTGAGTTATATTGAAATGGCGGCGCCCAACTAGAACTTACACTGAAAATTTCATTGATAGGTATAAAATTCCATATATTCTTTAATTGTTTTTTATTTGATTTTCTTTTAAATATTCAAGTATAGTCTATAGCCGGGGAAGCCAAAGCATGGGCCTGCTTCGCAGTCCCTGGTTTTGACTTCCCAGTATTATTGGTGTTGAAGATTGGTGATCAAGAATAACTGGATTGTTTTAGTGTTCAAATCTTTTTTGTAAAAATTAAATAAGCAGTATCTTTGTTGTGTTGTGAATATCAAAATTACTTTTCATTTTAAAGAATAGAACACAAGATTAGTGTACAGGTGGTGTGATAGCTTAGTTGGTTAAACCACTGATTATCACTCCACATAATTATTGATGTTTACATAATCATTTATCATCAGTATTATGTATAAAAGAATTATTGATGTTTATATAATCATTCATTATCACTATTATGTATAAAAGCCTTAACTGGTGCAATTCAATTACCGACAAATTATAGCCTAATGTTTTCAATAACTTTATTATATGGCTTCATTTGGTAAAGACCTAAAATATATCATTTATAGACAAAAGCGAAAATGAAAGAAGCAAAATATCGTCTAAAACATAATAATTTATTTAATAAAATATTCTCTGAAAATCAATTTTGGGGCTGGATTGACCATATTTGGGGCCAGGTTAACTGATTTTAGGGCCGGATTAACCGATTTTAGAGACGCATTGACCAAATAGAAATTGTGTGGGGCCGGATTGACCAATTTTTGGGCCGGGTAGTCCAATATATTAGACGTTACAGACTTGTTATAGCCTGACGTCTAATAGTTATTGCTCATAAACGCATAGCATTTTTAAAAAATCTAAAATGTCAATTGTCTTGCCTTTCAAGCTTTATTCAAAAGCTTATCTTCTTTTCTTTCAATTTCATGCTCAATCATTAACAAAAACTCTCAAACAATGTACTTATCAATTAAAAATAACATATAAATATCAATCTAGTTTTGCCTATCAGCCATACTGGTTAAGTAAAGCGCTTTACAGATTGATTCCAAATTTTTTGAACAGAAAAATATATTCGAACATGCTGACGGTGCATGGGCAATTATTTCGTTGAAAAAATATTCCGTTAGAAACTTCTGACTCATTTAAACGCTTGCATTTAAATTAGCCAATCAGATTTCGTGCACTGTATGGCGGCCATTTGTTTATCGGCTGTATAAGGAATTTAATTAAATGAGAGGATTTAATCATGATTTTTCAGATGTGACAGTTTAATTATTTTGTTAAAAGGTATTTATTTTTTAGTTTTGTTCATAAATAGGTCAAAATTAATGTAAATACACGCTGTCTTAATTGTTTAAATGCATTTGATCTAAATCGATGTCTAATGTCAATTTGTTTGCTACACAATTTTGCAAAGATCTGTTAAGACCTAACATAACATGGAAAATGAAAAATATCAGATTAATGAATGATCAATATGAAAAAGGTTACGTATAATTAGGACTAGGGACCTGGTAGACTAATTTTGGGGCCAGACTGACTTGAGGCCGGAATAACTTGGGGCTGGTTGACTGTAATTTGAGGTGAACTGGTAAGAAATCCAGGCATCAGTGCTATACACTGGGCATGTAGGTCTAAAAGAACCAAGTGGTCTAGTCAATAATAGCTAGAGCCTGTTGTATCATATAGCTGTCTCTTTAATGTATACCTGCTTAGGGTGATAGTAAACGATTTTAAAGCAATATGGTGTAGAAGTAGAAATACATTGGCCAAAAAGTTAATATCGCGAAATCTAGTGACAATTCATTTGGTAAATAATTATAAAATCAGTGAACGGACAGGGATGTCAAATAATTATAAAATTAACTAAACATAATATTTCTAAAATAAAGAAGAACTATCATTAATGAAAAACAAATATAACACCTTTCAAAACTGTTTGAAGGATAACAAATGTGGCGCCACGATCAATTATTTATCTCCAATTTGAAGATTACGATAGATTTTCTAACCCAACGCGTACTTAAATGAAGAAAAGTGATGTAGTTTTTTTTATTATTTCTTTTTTTTTCTTTTTTACCTTCTTCTGATTATTTTAAAGAAATTTACCTTGTAATTGTTAAGCTGTGGAATCCCTGTAAAATACCAGAAAATCGAAATCAAATTCAAGAAAACTTTATCAAATTTATATGATCTGAGCAAGCAAGCATGTTATACAATTCTATAGTTCATGTCAGTACAAAATAATCAAAACATTTATCCAGTCATTGGAATCAGTTTAGTAGGCGTTTGAATTGTGTCTATATTTAAAACACAAGTTATGTATTGCAAAGTCATGCTGATACATATAATTATTTCAATGTTGTTTTTTCCCTGGGTCTTTAAATTTAAAATGCATCTGCAATGTAAGTGGAAAAAATGACTACAAGCGGAGTGCGAGTATTGATAGATAATCATCTTGAAAAACGAATAAATAGATAAATAAGTAAATAAATGGATAAATAAAAAGATAAATAAATAAATAAACGACTAGCAATAACTGTTTCCGACATTACTTTGATACGATGTCAGCTGGTTCAAGCTCATCTGTTTCTTTACTTTGATAAAACTTAAAGCTTATAAAAATCACAGAGCTATATATATTTAATAGGCATTATATCTAAATGTCTCTGATAAAATCAACAGCATAAAAATTAAATCATGAATGCATCATACATCATTTATAGAAATTGACTGAAATAGTATCTTAAGTTACATTTCGTTTCTCACTTATAGTAAGTTTATTAGAGAAAATTGTTGTACTATTAAAGCTCTTTGTCGTGAGCTCAATTCCAACTTGCACAAATAAAACATAATCTCTGCGAATTATCGTTGTAAAGAAGTCTGTAGGGGTTAGGAGAAATTACCATACTTGATATAAAAAAATAAACGTTTGTTCGACGTCATACTACTTGAAGATTGTTACAATATAGTATTCCCTACAATAAGCATCACTTCGTATTATAAACTACATAATTATGTACAATCACCGTTCAGTTCAAAGACTGCGTAATTTTGTTCTACTTATATAATTATAATATTTTCTCTAACCCTTACCCTAACATTGACGCCATGCATTTTACATTAACTTAGTAGTACTGTAGTTCTCTCTTGAATTCGATATTTACTGACTCAGAGCAGTCACTGCTCAAACTATCTCACTTTTAAATAATTTAAGTAGATTATCATTTGGAGCCATATTATAACTACTTCGACAACATGACACATCTTTGCATTTTGTTCACGATATGTTTATTTCTTCTTCTTCTTCTTTTTTTCATACCGGCATACAAGATATCAATAGTCGCTTTCTCTATGGGGGTTAGAGAGAAGTACTTTTTTCATACAATAATTTGATTAACGACGGTCTCTGAGTGCAAATCACTAGAATATCGGTTCTTATTTTGTATGATTCATTTGTTCATAAAGTTCGATTTTCCCAGCATCAGCTTATACTGTCAATAACAAACATGTAAGAGAGAAAAAACAGCTGGTCGGTGCGAAGTAATAAATCATATATATGAAATATTTTGACAAACAGAGTGAGACCGTACTTTAACGGCCCATTAAACCGAGACTGTAATCGAATGGAAATAACATGTTTATCATATAACGCTCAGAGACGTGAGAAATTGCACTATTAAACATCATTTCAAAAGGGTAGTTACGCGTTTATTTATTATATTATTGGTGTCGGTATAGCTTGATAGGCATATGAATTCTAAAATTTAGTTTCAGGCTGTATTTTAACCTAATTTTCATCTCCTGCTGACATTTCATTTTAACATTATTAATGTTGTAGTAATAATTATCAAACATAATTTAGATTCTAGTAGAAAATTTAATTTTGTAGAAAATAATTAACGGTAAAAAATACTTATAACTGTCGAGGAATCAGACTGAAATATGAAATATGGTTTCATATTTCATTAATTAAAGGAGAAAGTTTCAGTATTATTTGAAATAATCATTTTAAAATTTCATGTTCTTTAACAGTGTAGTAATAATTATAGCGCTATAAAGTTTGTGGTAATTATAAAGCGTAGTTGTTTTATCATTCCCTGAAGATATATCATGGTTCAACTACATTTTGTTTATTTCCCCTGCCTATACTACCCCCTCTCAATGATCTATATATACACGTTAATATTCAATATTTCTATTACAGCACATAAAAAATAAGCTTCATAAAGTCATGTCATCAAACCATATTCTGACCACTATACCAACGGGTTTCATCAGTTATCAAGTCAAAGCCTGTCTGAACTACTTTAGAGACTCTGAATTAAGTCGTCGTTAATAACGCAGTCATAAATAACGTTCTATTGCAGTGTTATATTTTTTTTTAATTTACAGCACACATGTTGTTACTGCTATTACTGCTAAATTCAAACACACCAAAAAGTCCTGAAATTCTACAAATGTGAGAAAACTACAATAATGTGATCAGGTGATTATTAAAGGCCCATTGTGCCTCAGAAACGAATAAATGTTTCCTTTTTTGCACAAACATAACCTGTAAATGATAGTTTAAGAACATGTTAGATCCTTATTACCTGAAAAAATAGTGCTGAATGTGAAATTTTGTGTCATTAAAATAGAAAAATGTCAACAGTAGTAGTTTGACTTCCATACAAAATACCATATCGCTATAACTGTACTAATTGCCAGAAAGCAACAGGAGCAGAAGATGTAAGATATATTTGGCCAATGGATAGTTTTATGGAAACTATCACCGAAAGCTTTTGCAAAGTGGATATAAAAGGATTTATGGGATATAATGTGCCCTTCAGGTTCAACTGACGGGAAAAATCTGTAAAAAGAACGCGTGTAATGTATTCAAAGATATAAATAAATGCCCAGACAAATTCTTAGCGAAGATACAGAAATGATATTTACGTTTAAAGAATACATTTTAACCTTGTCCATTTTAAATTGATGTTGATACATTAGCTTAGATTTCTATTTTGGTGTGTAAACGCATAAATGTTCCCCTTAATATGTTGCCCATGTCTCTTCCAGCTCTGTTATACATATTCTAAAGTTCCTTTACTTTGCTTCTGTAAACGTACTCAAAATTAAGGACTTAATATATACGTCTCTCTATCAAAACGGACAAGAAAATAAAATTGTGTTTATCAAAATCTAAGATAAACTTTAAAATGCTTTCCTGCATTTATATAACCACTTTTCTTTATTTTCACTATTTTATACTTATTATTAAGGTATAAATAGTTTTGCACGCAGCGTCATGTCTTTATTGTACCGCAATATTGCTTTTAAAACATATGATACAGCGATAAATTCTGCAGTCAACTGTAAAATAACAAAATGCATGAAAGTAATATACATATAATCTGTCTGTTGTACATTGTCCTTAAATTTTTAACTGTTTATTGTACTTGTAATATAATATTGATTTTAAAATATACTTATCTCTAAAAATTGCATCACATAGTTAAATTTGACAGAGGCATGACATTCTTTGTAATTTTCTGACTCTAATGGGGTGATGGCTATACATATTTGATTTGCGCTATTTGGAACATCCAGACAGATGCTTAATAAAGGACCGGAAGTTGTGATTGGCAGATGTGCTAGAATTAAGTCTAATAAATTAGTATCAGCATAGAACCATTTATAGCTTCACGTCTATTGGCAATGAGATTTATAAAAATGGCTGTAAAACTTAAATTTTCCGGGCTCGTGATGACACGCACCAGAATCCGTACATTTTCAAGTTAAACTACGGCATTCTTCTGTCATCATTTTACATAGAATTACTTCTTCTGTTTCTTTGTACATCGTGAAGAAGTATTGATAAAAGTCATCATATTAACGCTTCTGAAAGGTGCTATATAAAATTATTAGGATATTCAACGACTGCTAATTTCTTTTCTACTTACTACTTTAATTTGAAGTCGACAGGGCAGACTTACTGTCTTTGAATTTCCCTGCTTATGAACATTATATCTGTGTCTTTCTTAACGAATTGTCAATACATGTATCTCTTAAGCATTTGTTCAAAGTCATTTTAAAAAAAGTCATTAATAACTCACATTTAAATAAATTGTCTAGGAACAACATGTATGTAATACATAGTCAAGATGCGACAAAAATAGAGCTAGTAAGCCATCACATGGAAGCTTAGCGATTCGGACGATGCAAAGTTTGTGTGCACATCGACCGTGCTATGTAGGGTGGTTAACAACCAATCCTGTGAACAAAAATTCATTTGTTTTATAGTTTCAGAACTATTGCAGTTTCTATATAAGGCTAAGAGATATAGATATATACAAAGAACTTAATATCTGTGCAGTCATATATATATCAACACAAAAATGAGACTTCTTTGATGATACTATCTATAATATTTTACTATAACATACTGCAGTAAAAACATGGATAAGATCTTAATGAAACATTGAAAAAATTTGTACTTTAGTAACTGTTTCTATAACTACAACCCAAGAGGGCACACAAACGCATGGAAATGTTATACGTATATTCTAAATGCCTCGTAAAAGCGGTGCATTTCGAGATATACACATTGTATTACTCAGCCTCTTAGATAACCTATGAAGATAATGGAGCCGGAAGCTGAAGAGCGAAGCGTGTGTTAATCGCGGGAAATTAACTCTCTGCGCAATGACGTAAATCACTAAAACACATGTTCAAGTGGTTCACTTCGTACAAACAAACAGCAGTTGCAAGTAAAGATATGTAAGTGTTTTTAATAAATAAACAAAGCGTTGTCGGAAATGGTTACACAAGGGTTGTTTATCTAAACCAAATCTATACGATTCTATTATTTAACTTATTATTTTACTTAAATTTACTGCATTGTCGTGTACGCAACTGACAACTGAAATATTCTGTCGAGTTTTATCCTTACTTGTAAGTGTCAGCAAACGAACACTTTATGTCAACGTTGTTTGTAACATAGTTAATGATATAAACTGAAGGTAAAAAATATTTTTGAATGTTTATACAGGTTCAACATTAAGAAAAAAAACAACAACATATATTAAGACATCCTGTATAGATCTATATGCATATATTCACTTTGATCACGTTCGATTAACATATACAGTACTCGTGTTCAACTTGTATGGAATATAGATCTATTCAGAAATCTAATTTTATACAACATATACCCCATCTTCTTAATTATCGTACATGTAAATTTATTAGGTTTTATAACAACTTTTCTATATTGAAAAATATAGACTCTAAGATTATAGTATCATATATTCATATGATAATATTATATGATAATATATATTGACGTTACCGCGTAAACGGACGTCACGTCACCTTGTATGTTCTTGATTTTCAATTCTATTGAAGACGTATTAAAATCAAAACGAGAAAAATGTGGTGTCTTGATTTTTTTACATTGTTAGCATTGCTATTATTCTTTTACAAAATAAGAGCATTTTACTTTCTTTTCTATACATGTATTCTTTTTGTTTAACTTTCATAAGACGTGTTTCTCACGATTTCACTCTTAAAATGCTTACAAATATATTCTAAAACAGCGTGAAATATTTTAATCTTGTGCAAGGACATCAAAAGTAGCCGAAATTTGTGATAGTCATGCGTTTATTTGTATAAGATATTTTGACGATGCCGCCGCCTGGTACATGTATGTATGCGAACCACGATTGATATGATTGTAGATTTATATTTAAACCTATATGTAAAAGTAAAGTTTGGAAAACCTTATATAACTAGAATCTACGCCGTTTGAATATGACCCTTATATCAATAAAAACAGATTAGCTTCCAGTATTATAATGACGTGAAAGAAGAACAAAACCACTCAGTACTTTATAATATTAAACCATGTAAAACAGCGATTCGCATGAGTAAGTTTACGTTCAAGTTGTTTACGCTAAAAACTCTGTTCATTCATAAAAATTAACCCTGTGACCTTGATGACGTGTTTTCTAGTGACGTAAAATGATTGACGCGTCCTACTTACAACTAAAAAGCACAATTGTGATCAATTGACGATTTCTTTAACATTATATATACACTAGTACATCTTGAATTTGCAAAAAAATCTGAAGATCTTATTTGGCATTAAAGAAAAAACCTAGTTTTAAGGAGATAATTTGATTTTTTACCTGCTTTATAACATAATCACGTGATTGGCAACGTATCAATTTTGAGGCGTTACTAATTCATGAAAGACTGCCTCATTCTATTTTTACACAGAAGGGTATAAAAACACCGCTGACGTCAGGTTTCATTCATAAGTCCAGTGGACAGCGAACAGAGCAAGGATAACGTACATTTAAGTTTGCGGAGAGAAAAAGGGAAAAATAGGACTGTGATTCGAATTTTATAAATAAATAAAGTCGTGTTTATATTTATTGTGACTTACTAATTTAAAATATACTGTGATCTGGAATGGCCGATAGTTGTTTCATTAATCTCGAAAGTGAAGTCTTCGATGATCAAATCGTACCTGACACAGACGACTGTTTCTTACCTCCCAGCGAACCGCAGCTGGCGAGTACATCCAATGTAAGTATTTAAATAATTTTAATTAATTTACATACATGTGTCTGCTTATTTGTTTCATATTGAGTCGCTTTTTTAAGAAATTTAATTTACAAAAATAGCTACATTAAAACTCTTTTTATTAAGCTCTACTGAAATTTAACTGTACATTAATTGTTTAATATGTTTAATTGTATCATAATATCATGTAAATGGGATTAGTAATGTTATTAAACATTCTACAGGTTCTTTGATAATTGCGGATTATGTATATGCTTAAATAGTATTCCTGAAAATCAAATTCTGTGTTTGTTAAATTTGGCCACACTTATATCAGTAACGATATTTAATATTATTTCAAGTCAATGTAAATGGTATAAATTCTGCTGACCTAAAAATACTTTAATATAAAATGTCCGTTACGAGACTCCATCTTGAATTTATGAATGAGATAAGAATTAGGTCAATCTGGTTTTAAAACGTCGCGAAACTGCCAATATTCAAGGTATAGTTCAAGCCGTATAAACATATTTGGACGAAACGATCGTAAATATCAATTTCGTGAATAAAACTTTAATTTCTTAGGTAGATAAATGGTAAAATAGAGATAATTTTCTCGTCTGAATCGGATTTTTAGCGTAAAAATAAATGGCGGTCGAGAAAGCCGTGTTATGATTGGCTGTTCTATCAGTCGTTTTAGTGTACCCTTTGAACTTTCATTCATAATTCGCATGTATTACTGCGCAGAAAACAAAGCTGTTCCGCTTCGGAAGTACGTAGGCGTCATTGATAAAAACGGCGCAAACAACCGAAACCATTAACATTTCGTTATCTGATAGAAATCATGTAGACGATAAACTCTGTCTAAAGTCAATATTTGTTCGAAAGATAAAGCCATGGAGAATAACACATGTTTAAGCACGTATAAGAACTGTGAACCAAATATCTATAAATAACTTCCGACACTTGGTTTAAAAATATTTGATTTTTAATGAATATAAATTGGTAAGTTTAAAAGCCATGGGGTTTTAATTAAACATTTTTTTGTTTTGTTTCTTGCAGCTAAAATCTGTAGATGATTGGGATAAATACATAACATTCCTAGACATACCAAATGGCAAGCCTTCAAGGAGAGAGAGCTCTTCTCTTGTCGATGAGTTCTTTGGTGACTGCAAGGACAACCCAGAACTTCAGGCGGCCAAAAAGATGATTTCTGCTGGTCTTGTAAGGGGTACCGACATGAACATGCTCCGAACTGGCTTACTTAACGCCACGAAACAACAGATAATTCAGCATGCTATAGAAGGCCCTCGCAGAACAAGTTCATCTTTGGTTGACGAGTTTTTTGGAAAGGATGTCTCGCCAAAGCCAATAGAAAATAAATCAAAGACGCCCGGTCTTCACGCAACAAAGTTCCAGAATGGATTTGATATGGATGCCACATATGTCTCCTACGAAAATGGTATTGTCAACGGGTCACATAAACGCCCAAGTGGAGCAACGGCATCATCGGGAACATCAATGTGGGACAATCTAAGAGCGTGTATCAATATAGCAGATGATGACAGAGATAGTGAGATAGAAATGGACGATACTCCTATAGTGCCTATTATAAAAGTAGAGGACACTAGTGATAAGCCATCGTGTCAGTATCATAATTCCAGCTTTGACAATGTTCACGTTAAACAGGAAAATCCATCAAGTTGTATGCTAAGTGAAAGTTCTAGTTCTGATCAATTTATGGACAGGCCGAAATCATTAAACATCCCAGTGCCGAATCCATGTTTATTACCGACTTCATCATCTCCAATGGTACAGTACATATCGCAATATAGCTCTGGAGGTGTTGTAAGAAGCCAGACCCCAATGTCTCACAATTACAGCACGACTCCAACACCACCCCACACAGTTCCGGTCCTGATGCCACCAACACCACCTAACTCACAGCCAGGCAGTCCCAGTACTGGTCTAGACTTACGCAGAACCCCACCTCCTCCATATCCTGGTCTTATACCAAGCCGAGTATCAATGCCAGGATCGGTTATGAACATGAGCCCGATGCTGAACGTTCCAGGGCCAGGAAGCATTCACATGTCAAAGAAGTCTCAAAAGACCCACCCTGGATGTTCAACAATAAAATACAACAGAAAAAACAACCCGGACCTGGAGAAAAGACGTATCCACTTCTGTGACTTTCCTGGTAAGTTATCACTGTATTTTTCTATTGATTAACTGATATATACTTAAGTGAAAATTAACTTACTTTACTAAGTCAACATAAACATGGTGATATTTGCCCTAGGCAAACTATAAAGTTTAATTTCGCAAGTTATGGTCGAATGGGTAATAATTGCTTACATGTAGACGGATTTGACTAACTTGGCAGTGTTATCTTACCAACAGTTTTACTATTTCGAAATAACAGAGCCTGATTTTCAAATGTCTTATATAGAATTCAGATTGATCTGTCAGTTTCATGTATAATGCCAGTCAAGCACAGATGCCATTAATGTGTTAATATATCGTAACACGTAATCCGAATTTGGTTTCTGATGTGTGAACTAATTACAAACAGTTGCTATAAAGTTAGTGTTTAGCTTTGACTTATGTTTTGTTTACTTTGTATATTTCAGGTTGTCGTAAAGCCTACACAAAGAGTTCTCATTTGAAAGCGCATCAGCGGATCCACACTGGAGAAAAACCTTACCGGTGTCATTTCCAGAGTTGTCAATGGCGATTTGCGCGCTCTGATGAACTTACACGTCACATCCGGAAACACACAGGCTCAAAGCCATTCAAGTGCAAGGTTTGCGATCGGTGTTTCGCCAGATCAGACCATCTTGCTCTCCACAACAAACGCCACGAACCCAAGAGTAAGACCACGTGACTTGTGGAAGAAAATACAGCAAGTTTTAAGGGAGAACTTTGTGCTTCACTTGGCTCCATTGAGCAGAACTTTGTTGATCACGAGCAGTCCTCGCACGGACATTTTAGTTGTTGTCATGGGCACGAACGTGAAATGCTAGAGTTAGCAGACGACAGTTGCCTGTTTGATGAAGGGGGTTGAAATAACCCAGAGTCTGCCGAACAGACTGGAAGACTTTATTTTAGGGAAGGTCATTGAATGATGTATTTTCAAAGAGACATGAATGACTTTGTTTTAGTATGCCAAAGTGCTCGTCTTACGAATTTATTTTGGTTATTATTGTGATAGTGACGGTGTTGTCATAAAATAGTTAAAGTTTTAGAGTTTATTTGTTCACAGTAAAGTCACAAATGTAAATGTGAGTTTTATTTAAAGCAATCACTTTAGCTGTTGTTTTGTCAACCTTTAATTGACTTTAGATATTGTGTAGTGCTTTCAATGACACTTTTCAGAGCACTTCGCTTGTTTTTGTTTCTTTAAAAAAAATGATTTCAGCCTTTAGACATTGTTAATGTTTGCATATCGTTTTACATTTTCTTTGTTAACATGGTTTGAACGGCGAACGATTTCATTAAAAGAAAGGTTCCTTCTTTGTTTATGTGCTATTCACAGCCTTTTTGTAAAAAAAAATAATAAAAGCAAATATTTATGTTGTTTTTTTACTGTTTGCTCAAAAAAGGCAGATTTTTATTATGTGCTAAATGTGTATATGACATAAGTTTATATACTTTTTACTGTTGTTAACATCATATCACTTCATTTTACACCTCTTTCATTTATATATCATTGATGTATGAATTCCACTCTATAAACGGGTCACTACCCCCAATGTGAATATTTATTATTAACATTTGTACTTAAATGTTTCTTTGCTTTTTGGTGAGAATAAAATTATTTAAATTGGCATTTTATTTTTATTGCTTTTTTAATCGAGATGAGCTTTTGGTGATTTTTTTAAAAAAAAGAGATATAATTTCCGGATAGCTCACTTACCTCAATCGCATCGCATTTTTACGCATACTTGGTACAAATCATTAGTAGAAACATTTCTTTGAAACCTTTTTTTTCTTTGGTATCTTTTCAGTCTTTTTTTTAACGATGAAATGTGGTTTTTAGCGGGAAAAGATAACTGTTAAATAAGCTACTGATATGCCTTGTTAGTAAACTGACTTAAGTGTTGTTGTGATAAAAGAATTCTTATAGGAGCTGGTATAATAACGTTATAAAGTTTTCTGATGAAATAGTTTTATATATTTTTCCAGTATGTGCTTGTAAAATTTATGTTTGAAAAAAAAAGAAATGCGGAATTAAAAGTTGAATATTTTTACAAATCATCTTTGTCGTTTTATATTTCCCATTAATATTCATCATCAGAACCCCCGTGCAGTCTGGAACTGCGTTTGTCAGCGTTTACCGATACAGGTCAATTATAATAACCCCATGAAGTTGATGTAATTTGCTGGAATTGCGTTTGTAAAAATGTTCCTTGAGCAGGTCTTTTATAATAATATGTCATGGAAGTTAGAAATGCGCTTATCGCAGCGTTTCACAGTACAGGTCTTTTAAAATATGTCCTGGAAAAGGAAAATGTAGCCTGAATTCCGTCACAATTGGACATGTATTTTGAAAGTAGCCAAGAAATTTTAATATCGTTGAGTTCAATCATTTGAAGTTTAAACTATATTTAAAATTTTCTTTTCCCCCTCGGGCATTTTAAAACGAGACTTCAATAAAGTCTACTTTTTAAGGTAAGATTCAATAAAAAGTGAAATTTAAACAGCTACAGGCGAATACAGTCTCATATGTTAAAATTATGTGTCGAAATGTCTACTTGCTTAAATGATACAAGTCAACCAATATAAATAAATATATATAAATTTTTCTACACTTTGAAAATAGACATATACACTTTGAAAATAGACATATAACTTGTTTAAGATTTTCACAAACGTTCCCTGGTTCCCAAATTTTAAGTTTCCATTATCACACTCTACAGCTCTTCTATTCACGTAAGCCTCCCCCCGTGCATATATCTATATATGTATGTGACGAATTTTGGGTTAAATCGAAAAAATGCATATGATTAAAATTCGTTCAGAAAAGCGGAAAGTGTGTTTTAAAATAAATATAAATTGTTAAAAAAAACTTTTCGAAAAATGAAATACAGGAAAAAAATGAAATGCGGGAAAACTATTTACGAAAAGAATTTAAAATGTGAGAAAATTTTCAACGAAAAACTCCAAATGCTTGATCCCAAAATTACGAAATGCGCTAGGGCTATGGAATTTCTCAGAAAAGAAAATTCCTAACGACATTTCATATATGTGTCAACCTCTTATATAATTGCTGAAAATTATTTTCAAAAAATTGGAAAAAAAAATGTTTCTTAAAATGTTAATAAATGAATTGCAAAATTCGTGGTTTTTTTTCATGCAAAAATTTTGTTCGTCTTTTTAGGGCCCAGTGCCTTATTTTTGTTAGAGATTCCTTTAAAATTTCGAAAAAAAATGCTCCGTTTCAAGGATTAATTTGAAAAATGTCAAAAATATAAAAAAAAACCATTTTATTTATTTTTAATTAAGTTTCCCTTGAACAGTTAAATAATCGTCGGCAAAAAAATTTGTTTGTTTAAAAAATTTGAAAATTCGTCAGAAATTAAAATAAAAAAAAATTTAGGAATTCAAAATGATATTTTTTTAAATTCTATTTGTTTTAATGAAAAGTAATACAAGAAGGAAAATACTGTTTTCTTCACCTTACAGTTTGGTGTACGTAAACAGGGACACGATCAATGAGTAATTGTTTACTCGTAACTTCATATCTTAAGTATAAATCATAATTGTTATGTAAATTTATTCGAAAGATATATTTACGTTTTAAAATCCAAATGGCGATTAAATATTTCTTCTTTACTTGTGTACTGTACAGACTTTTTTTCAAGCCATTCTCTTTGGAAACGAACAAAAGTAATGTGTTCTTTTAATAATGGGATAAATATTGAACGGGTACCATATATACATATATCACACATCATAAAATTACATTACTGTCTTTTACATAGAAAGGTAAAGAAAAGAAGAAAGATATTACAAAGTAGATCAGAAATTCGTTCCTTCGGCTTCTGTAATCTATAGTTTTTTATGTATACTACAAAGACATAAGTGAATTAAAAAGTAATTTCGTACAAAGAACAAAGACCCCGTTCTATACCAAAGGGAAATATACTTGACATTTTAATGGTATGTGCACTAGAAAATAAAGAATAAAATGAATTATTTACTTTTATAAATGTAAAATTTCTAGATCTAGAGCTTTTATTCTCAATGGAGGTGCTAAATGATTTTTCGTGTAAAAACTTTAATGTTTTATGAGGACGGAATTGGATAGATTATCTTTGATAATGTATAAAAAATACTGTTGTTTTTTGTTGCTTTTGAACGCTTGAACAGCTGTTTCTGATCGGTTATTCTTCTGTAAGAAAAAAAATAAAAGACTTAATTGTACACGGTTCTTAAACCTCACTTTGAAATTAAAAATGTTCAATGAATTATTGATGTTTATTACTGTAAAATCATTTCACTTAGTTTATTGATATGTTTCTTTTGTATACTGTAGGAAATACTTGTTGTGATAATGGTTGTTGGAAACCTGTGGTGGTAAAATGTGTCTTCATTACAACTGAGGCTTTTAAAACTTGACTTACATTTGTGTAAGCAAATATTTATCAGGAAAAACTCTATATTCCGGAAGTCGATCGAATACAATTTCCTTGTACCAAAATAAATGAATGAATGTTCAAGTATTCTATAAGCAAGGGATTCATTGAGAAAATTCTTGTATTGATTTTGTGCTACTGATACGACAGGCCGCCAAAGCGCGTGATGTTACGATCTATTTATAAAAGACTGATCGATACATAATTATGTCGGGTTGAATTTCTCGCTCGCAGACAAATTGCTAGTTCGAACAAAACTGACCTAATTCTGATCACAGCAGTACATTAATGAAAGAAGATTAAGGTTATTATATTTGACACCGTATTAACATCAGAATATTTAAGTAATCCTTGTTAACGAGAAGATAATGTGTTAGTATATTTATAGTTAATTATCTCTGAAACATGTTCTCTTCATATGTTAAATATCTTAGAATTAACATACATTAGATCAATCAGTTGTGATTTCTGACACAATATCCGTTTTTGAATTAATTATTTGTTCATTATTTTGTAATTAATTTCTGTAATTGTTATCTCTGAAAGTAAAAAAATGAAATTACACAAGTGTGGTTACTTTGTTTAATGTTATCAACATGCACGGGAAAATTGACAGAGGATCGGCGCATAGTCTAATTGAAAAAAACAAAACGAAAAAAAGTAAAGAAAAAAAACAACAACAACATTTCTACGACAATACAATGTTGATAGGATAGGCTGCAGCAATGAATTAAATTCCAATGTAGAACGATGTAACTGCTTCCAAACTTCTGGATCCTTAGTGTCCAACATTTCAACTTCACTCTGTCTCCTATGAGCCCCGCAAAAAAAATATGAAACTAATTCCGGCAGAAAAACCAAAATAGCAAATTACTTAATCTCCGTAAACGGCTTTATTGAAATTTTAAAAACCCAAAAAAAGTCGAGGCATTGTTTCATTACAGTTTTTAAAACCCCCAAAAATGAAGAAAAGGGTCCCCCCCCGTATTAACCAACCCCCTGACCCACCCTTTTTTTGGGTTGGGCATTTAATTTTTTAGTTATTTTTATACTGAAACCCCTTGAACTTTTGAATGGGCAATTCCAAAATTCTTTTGCTGGACAGATCCATTATAGAAATATAGAGATTAAGAGTTAATGGACGTACGGACGAACGAACTGTTCTATGTAAAAAGATACTAGAGGTTACAGTGATCAGTAATTCAATCATGCACATGGACGGACCACTGTACATTTTAAGAGACTGGCGATGAGAAAATATCAGACAGACGACACATTGCAAGTAAATGCGAATATGATAAGAGTCGACACGTACGCGGTCAGTAACGAAACTGATATATAAAGACAGAAGAAAAAAATTCAGATGTCCACTCCTTAAGTTAATGAACGAATGTTATAAGGTGTCATTTCACGTAACAAAACATCATTTAGTTCCTCCGAGACAGGAAACAATCTGAGATTGGTGGGTGCGATATAACTTAATTTACTGACCACTGATGCATAATTAAGATAACGCTTAACATTCAGGCCATGACTTCTTTAGTTTTAAAAAACCTGTAGGACAAATTAATAAACAATAATAAACGACTTTAAATAATGGAAATAAGGAATTAAAAATTATATTTAAAAAGTTTTTTATAAAACATGAAACCAAAATTTTTAAAAAAAAATTTATTTAGGAGACTAAATAATTATAGAAAAAAATCCATAAAAAGGGGGCTTTGATGTGGGGTTAAAAGGGGAAACCCTGTTTTTTATAGTAAAATTGGGGTTTAAAAAAAAGGGTTTTTTTTCCCGAAAAAAAAAAAAAAAATTTTAAGTGATTTTATTGACCTTGGGCAAAAAAAAAAAATAACTAGAAAACCGGAAAATATTGCGTTTTTAAACATTTTAAAAAGCGCAAAAAAGGTTATACAAAATGATATAGAAAAATGAGTTATGATTATATATTTTATATATGTATTAAATAAGATTTTTGTAATGACTTTCTTTGTTTAAAAAAGATAATAAAAAAGTTTCACATTTTTGAAACTTTAAAGTTGTTTTATGGTCCATACAAAATTGTTTTATTTAATGTATATGTGGTAAAATTTTTATCTTATTTTTTCCCTTTTTTCATCCCCGGGTTTAAAATTTTAAATAAATTACCTTTTTTTAAAAACTTTTTTGGGCCAAAAGGTTTTTTTTTATTTTCAAAAAAGAAAAAAAAAATTTTGATGTTTTTGGGAACCCCCTTTTTTAAAGCAGCATCCCCCCCAAAATCTAAAAATTTTGGAAATGAAAGGGGCCTTAAAATCATTAGTGGTTTAAGTCTCGAGTAAAATATAGATAAAATTTTGCATATAACTGGGAATTATTTTTTTTTTTATATTTTTTTTTTTTTCTTAAAATTTTCCTTTTTTTAAATTTTTTTATTCCCCTTTTGAACTATTTTGGCTCTCTGGAGACATGGCGCAAAAAAAATTAAATTTTGTAGGGAAAAAAAATACCATTTTTATTCTTTTTTTATGAAAAATTTTTACATTTTTAAAAAAATAAAAAAAAATTTTTTTGAAACTAAACTTTTTTTATTTTTTTTTTTATTAACACCCGTTGTTTTTTCTTAAAGAAAAGAAA